ATTTTTTTTCTAGCAGATCAAAAAGGGCCACACTGAGAATTTAATTTTGGGCTAGTTTATAGTTTAACTTCTCATCTGGAACTAAAATGTGGAGCTTATCTTACATGCAATCTGATTGGACAGAAATTTATCATGCACTTTCAGGAAATTTCCCCAAAATTATCTCCTACAGTCTAACATACATAGCAAGATTGATATTTGATGTGAAACTGGGATTAAAACTCGAATGAACCAGGTGCTAAAACAGTGGCTAAATAATGGAATTTAGTACTTAAATAGTAAGAGGTTAAATCACAAGTTGTAGAGCTAAAAATTTTAATACAAGTTGTATTTTAAGAAAAGTACAATTTAGTGCTTGATTAAGATACAGGTAGTAAAAACTTATAAAGTTACATTAATTAAGATAGTAAAAACTTATCAAGTTATAAATTAAGATAGTTAAAACTTATAAAGTTATAAATTAAGATAGTTAAAACTTATAAAGTTATAAATTAAGATAGTAAAAACTTATAAAGTTATAAATTAAGATAGTAAAAACTTATATTAAAGTTACAAATTAAGATAGTGAAAACTTATAAAGTGCTAAATTAAGATAGTAAAAACTTATAAAGTTATAAATTAAGATAGTAAAAACTTATATTAAAGTTACAAATTAAGAAAGTGAAAACTTATAAAGTGCTAAATTAAGATAGTTAAAACTTATAAAGTTATAAATTAAGATAGATAAAACTTATAAAGTTACAATTTAAGATAGTAAAAACTTATATTAAAGTTACAAATTAAGATAGTGAAAACTTATAAAGTGCTAAATTTAGATAGTAAAAACTTATAAAGTTATAAATTAAGATAGTTAAATCTTAGTTCTAAAATTAATATGATATTTTTACCTATGGTGCAACGTAAAGCCAATCCAAAATAAAAAGAAAAAAATCAACATGATCATACCATTCTGATCATGGTTCACACTATATAATTCACTGTTTTAAATCCCAAAAATAATGATGAATGTTTTTTATGGACATTCTCATTAAGGATATTTAGCAAGGTTAGGGTTAAAGGGCTGAATAATAAAGTCGGGAAGATTTGTTATAAAAAATATTATTTCCACCTGTCCAGTGGAATAGTGAAATGGAAAAAGGAAAAAATACAGAAATGTTTTAAATATGTAAATAGCTTGTAATGTTTTATATCTGCAGAATTTAAGAAATGGACTTAAAGCTGCATGCCTCCAGATGAGTCAAAGTATTTCAATAAAATCAAACTTGAGACATTTGTACAACAACTTTAGGAAAAGTAAAATGATTCAAGATTCAAATAATATTTCACATGTTATGTGCGGTAAATGACTGATTTTTCAGTATTTATAAGTATATTTCTACAGCGTTACTAACGCAGTAATAGCTATTTATGCATATTTTGACCACTGTTTGTTAATTAACGTGGGTTGTTAGTGCCATTGATTATGTATAAATTGCTTCCTTTTGGTTAATTCACAATATTATACATTCAAATACATTTTAAAAATGTGCATGAAAAATAAGCGTGAATCTGGAGGCGTGCTGCTTTAATATGTAGTGAGTCATTTGAACCAGTTTTTAGGGGATTTTCCAAGTATAAGAATTATGTAGCAGCCAATATGTTGAAGATTGGTCAGTTCTATACTACTGGCTAGTTTGTCTATTAATTCTTACACTGGTAGTAATACATGTATATACCAATTTGCAGTAGCTGTTGTAGAATTTATAACTTCTTATACTTTCATGTGGAACATAGTTAGGTCAATCTAAATTTGTGTTTCACAGTTTTTAAATTGTGGATTTATAAAAAGTTCTCTTTTAGGAGGTAAATCTTTTAATATTTTTCTTTAGGATATGAATTAAAATGATACCTAGTTATAATTTTAGTATTTTAAATTATATTTCTATTTTTCAGATAATATTTATTATATTATAATATGTATGTTAATATATGAATGTGTGATTGTTATTAAAAAACAGTAACAATATTATTTTGTTAATTCAATTGAAGTGGCAGTATAAAGATAAATGTATACACATAACTGACCAGATGAAGTGTTAATAACTCAAATGTCCATGATGTTAATACTGTGTAATACTCAAACAGGTAAATGTAGGTAATGTCTGGCTATAGGTAGTGTATTGATCTCAATTGTTGTCATGATTTGTTTCATACATGTTTTGTACTGTTTGAAGTGAGGTTTGTATTGCACAAAGATACAATGCTGTTTATTTCTTGATATTCTAATCATGGGAATATAATTACATTTTTATCATGGCAAATCAAATTGTAAAACTAACAAGTTCTAATTAAATTTTCTTCCACACAAGTTCTGTTCATTAAACAATTGATGTAAAAGAAAACTTACTTTGCATTAAAAACAATTTTAACTTCTTGGCCCTTTGCTAACTGGCAAGGTGTTCACCAATTTAATTGGCAAGGTGATACCAATTTTTGTTACTCCTTGCAGTTGTTTCTTCCCCTGAGCATTACAAAAAGGGAGCAAAACCAGGCTTCGAAGCTATAAAGAAAATTTTTTAAGCTCAGTCTTAGATCTCAGCTATTATTTTTGGCTGGAAACTGACAGAAAATGTTCACTGACCAATGAATGTCCAAGATTTGTGAGTGAGATCAGAAAATAAGTATTCAAACATGTAAGGGGTACCATGAGGTTGATGAGATAAAAGGTGGATATATCACAGGAATTCTTTTGATTGTGAAAGTATGAAGCTAAATACAACTTGTAGGTAAACTATTACTTATCCTTTGTTAATTTATGAAATATGTCATGACCTTATTTGAGCTCAGTCAAGATCCAAGATCCCAGAATTCAGCAGCAGAAACCTCTTCTTTAGGCCATCACATCACTCCTTGTTAAATGTATTCACAATCTTATATTGGAGCTTAAGTTTGTTTCTTTATGTTGTTGTAGGAGAGGTGGAGTTTCTTTCACTCTTGACACACAAAATCCCATGTATATTTGAAAAAAACTACAGTCACACCTTAATGTCACTCAAATCAGAAAGTGGACTTGTAGCCATAATTTATGATTAAATCTAAAAGTAAAATATTAAAAAAGATCTTTGTTAGAAAGTTCATACTTAATAGACTTTAGACTGATTTTGATATAAATGTGTGGTTTTGTTAGCTGTATATATAATAATATACCATAGTGACAGACATTCTGTATTGTTTAGGTCTCACTTAAAAACATGGCACCAGACTTGCATAACATTATAAACATCTACATATGAAACAGCTCTAAATCTGGCATATACAAACCACAGATACAAATATTAAATGCATTATGTTGCATTCTATTTTCAAGTGGTAAATTTAATACTTGTGTACTAGTGGAAAATCACATTTCGTTTACTGGCAATTACATACTAATATTATGTGTTAAACTTCATTAAATTGACAATTAATTAAGAAGCAATTACATTACATGATAATACAAGTGGCAAATTACATTACAATCATGATAGTACAAGTGGGAAATTACATTACATGATAGCTAGTACAAGTGGCAATTAATAATACATGAGATTGTACAAGTGGCAATTAATAATACATGAGATTGTACAAGTGGCAATTAATAATACATGAGATTGTACAAGTGGCAATTAATAATACATGAGATTGTACAAGTGGCAATTAATAATACATGAGATTGTACAAGTGGCAATTAATAATACATGAGATTGTACAAGTGGCAATTAATAATACATGAGATTGTACAAGTGGCAATTAATAATACATGAGATTGTACAAGTGGCAATTAATAATACATGAGATTGTACAAGTGGCAATTAATAATACATGAGATTGTACAAGTGGCAATTAATAATACATGAGATTGTACAAGTGGCAATTAATAATACATGAGATTGTACAAGTGGCAAATTACATTACATGATTGTACAAGTGGCAAATTATATTACATGATTGTACAAGTGGTGTCTTCATTGTCGGCGTCCACTTAAGCTTGTCCGGAGCATAAGTCAGTCGGATTGACTTCAATCTTGGTATGCATGCATGACCCGAAGTGCAGTGCACAAGAACCGGTACTCTGCATTTCTTATTTTTTGAGTAATTGCCCTTTGTTAATTTTCATACTTTATTTTTGTCCGGGCCATTTCTCCTAATGTATAAAAGCTATGGACTTGAAACTTCATAGGATGATAGATCTCATTACGAAGAAGTGCAGTGCACAAGAACCGGTACTCTGCATTTCTTACTTTTTGAGTTATTGCCCTTTGTTAATTTTCATACTTTATTTTTGTCCAGGCCATTTCTCCTAATGTACAAAAGCTTTGGTCTTTAAACTTCATAAGATGATAGATCTAATTAAGAAAAAGTGCAGTGTACAAGAACCGGTACTCTGCACTTCTTATTTTTGAGTTATTACCCTTTATTAATTTTCATACTTATTTTTGTCCAGGCCATTTCTCACGAATTATAAAAGCTATGGACTTGAAACTTCATAGGATGATAGATCTTATTGATAAGAAGTGTAGTGCACAGAAACTGTTGCTCTGCACTTCTTATTTTTTGAGTTATTGCCCTTTGTTAATTTTCATATTAAATTTTTGTCCTGGCCATTTCTCCTAAACTATAATTATTGTTCACAAGGCAACACATCCAACTCCCGGAGTTCTAGTCTGCATAGCAGTGTATGTATGCTTCTGTAAAAATATTGATTAGAAACACTTTATCTGCTGTTTTCTCATGCATTACTATCTAAAACATGTTAGTTTACAAGTCATCCATGCAAGGTACAAGGCCTAAACAGATTATAATATCTTATCTTTATTGTTTAAACACATTGTTTTACCTTATTCCCAGTGCTTTCTGAATTAGACTATCTGTAACATTGACAGTTGCAGATTACCATTTCCTCTTAGGTTACAGAGTATTAGTGGTTCTAATCAGGTGCCTGTTTGTACCTGCAATAATGCATGGAAGGGCACCTTAGGTCTAATCCTCCACCAGTAAAGCAGATGACTTACCAGTATACTGTGTTGGTGTTATGACTAAAACTTGACCAAAACAAGATCTGAAACAGTTACTTCAAATCTCCAACCAAGGGATAAATTGCATCTTTTTGTTACAAGCTAAAAATGTTTGTAAAAAATTGACTATAGTCTGATGAAAGTGGTGTAACATTATCAGAAATAACAACTGCATCATTATGTAGTTAAGGCGAGAAGTGTGCAAGATGTTACAGTTATCTATATAAGTCAGTATTTTAAAGGGACTCCACTGAGGTTTTTTTGACAAGATTAGACTGGAAATAGTTTTATGAGATTAATGTTCCACTCGATGTAGGTCTAAACGTGTAAAAATTTCAGATCATTCACTCACTCTGTTTTTCAAAAATAATTTTTCTAATTGTGAAAAAAGACAGAAAATTTAAAAGTGTTTCACTCAATTCTGGCGAAGAATAGCACACAAAAATATGATTTTCATTTTATGTTTGAGTATATTTCTTTATCATCTTTTTGACTATATTTTTGTTTTAAGTACCAAAGTTGACCTTATATATAAGAAATTCAAATTTTATGTGTTAAGGCTTTTGAACCTCAATGGGGTTCCTTTAATCCATAAATTGCTGTGTAATTGAGTCCCATTTTGCTATTATGTGCTATAAATTCTGTACTTTGTAATATTATCCTTATTAAAAAAAAACTGAGAAAAATATAAATTACAAAACCATTATTACGTAAAGTGCAACAAAATGTTATATAATTTGTTTGGATGCTGTTTTCCATTATTTTACACTTATTATGTTTCAAATTTCATGATAGAAAAGTGAATATAAAGTTACCATGAATTAACATACCTTAAGTTGTTAGAATATTTATTTCCCCATATGTCATGGGAATAATTGGCTTTGTCAATGACAGTTTTCATATAACAAAAGTTTTTGTGTCATACAGTGGTAATAATAAACTGAGAGCAATTTATAGATATAGAAGGAAATACCACTTAAACTGAAATTAATTGCCTCCATTCATGACCACCTTGTGGTGTAATGATCCCAAAAATTGTTGTTCGGTTTAAATTGTGGCAAAAATATGAAAGTGAAAGTCAATGAACTGGAAAAAAAAAATCATCTACCAGTATATTTATTTCAGTGTCAGGGATGGCTTTTGTCCTTCCTGTGAAATTGGACCATCACTCACTACTGAATGGAAGAGCTTATGGTCTTTCCTGGAAAAAAAATTGAAGGGCTTTTGTTTGCTCAAATGAATAGAAACAATTTTGACTTGTCTGTTAATTCTGTCAAAGCACCTTTTTTTTTGCCCTGTCTGATGAATAAAGATTCTGTGGGCCTACCTATGGGAGGAATTTTGTTTGCTCTAACTTATAAAAGTTTATAAAAATTTCCAGTGAACAAAAAAGTCAAATCTGGGTTAAAACTCAAATTAAAAAGATTTTGTTTATAATATGGGAAGCTGTTTCAAGATTTATTTATTCAAAGAAATTGCAGACAATCTGTTTGACATCTGTACTTTAAGGCCAAAAAAAGAGTAGTTTTCTCTTTTCAGACTAAACTCAGACTAAGTGCATAATGAAATAAAGAGAAACTAAAGCTGATTTATAGTTAAGGAAAGCAAATACATGTACTGTAGAACATCATTAAGCATGAGTGAAATCAAGAATAACGGATATATTTATATGTTCTTTGTCTTGTTCTTGTTGTTTTGTTTTTCATGATATACCAGTACTCACAATTTTGTGATGCAGCACAGGAATAATCAAAATATATTTGAATTTAGCAAAACAAAAAATATATGTTTTATGTCATCAATCAAACAATTCTGTAAAATTCAAAAATATATTTACAGTTCAAGAAATATACTGTATAAGTGGTTTATTTTGCAATGTGGAAATATTTGCAATTTTTGCAAATTGAAATTATTTGCAAATATCTGATCGCACAAAAATTATTTTCCTAGGCAAAGTTTCTTCTATCACTTGAAAACACGTTTTGATACCGCATCTTTATACATGAATAAGTTTGACTGTTCAAGTACTGAGATTATTTTTTCTCATTGCTTGTTTCAAAGGTTATTCAAATAATAGAGAATGTTTCAAAATATGACAAAGAAATGTGTGATCAGGTCCTTTATCAAACTAACAATGTATTTTTAAACACTTATATTTAAATCAAGGCATTAAATAACTGAATAGAACGATTACAATAATGGTATATTCTTAATATGTACCTACTTAATTAATGATATCACAAAAACAGTATTAAATTTAAAAATCAAGGCATTAAATAACTGAATAGAACGATTACAATAATGGTATATTCTTAATATGTACCTACTTAATTAATGATATCACAAAAACAGTATTAAATTCAAAAAGCAAGGCATTAAATAACTGAATAGAACAATTACAATAATGGTATATTCTTAATATGTACCTACTTAATTAATGATATCACAAAAACAGTATTAAATTCAAAAAGCAATTCAAGAAAGCATATTTTTGCAAATATTTCCATACGCAAAAAAGTTTACTTTTTGACATTGCAAAATTTTTGTGACGCATAGATATCCACTTATACAGTATCAATATGTATTCACAATTTCCCATGCATTATGCAAAATATGGATAAATAAATAAATAAATGAATGAATGAATGAATGAATGAATGAATGAATGAATGAATGAATGAATGAATGAATGAATGAATGAATGAATATGTATTCACAATTTCCATGTATTATGCAAAATATGAATAAATAAATAAATAAATAAATAAATAAATAAATAAATAAATAAATAATATCTATCATGTGTTGCAGTTCAGATTAGAATATCCGTTCAGAGGGTACCTGCCCATCTGAACCATAAATACACATAAAATGTCATTTCTTGCACTGTTCTTCCATATTCCACCATATTTTAAATGGTTAACTTCAATAAATTTATTTTCTTGGAAATTTATGTCATCACATCTCATAGCTCATTGGTGGATGTACGAATGATATTCATCAAAAGCACTTGTTGATAATTGACTTGAAAACTTTCTTATTATGGAGAAATCACCATGTAAAAGTAATAAACATCTATTAAAAACATGCACCATACCACAACACAGACTGTGTCTGTTTCATTTGATACCAGTTTGTACTAATTGAATATAATTAAACCAGTCTGCTATATTACATTAAGTGAAAATTTGGTTTATTTTATACATGTTTTCTTAATGAGTTAAAAAGAATAGGTTAAAGGCACATTTATGCCCCCTCATAAATTGTACCTTCTTTAGAAAGTGCAAACTTGAGTTTTACAACACTATATTGTTTTAGAGCATGTTAGCTGATAAACAAAGTAGTATTTTGACTTCCATACAAAATACCAAAAAGTTTCTTTTTGGGAACTTACAGAACACCAAAAACTAAAGGCTTTAGAGAAAAAAACAACCAAAAATCACTTCTCGAGGATCGGAAGTTAATTTTGAAAATTAATTGACCGCCTCCGTGGTCGAGGGGTTAGAGTTGATGACTTCTAATCCAGTTACCTCTCTGGCGTGGGTTCGTTCCCCGGGAGATGCTTTGGTAGTTTAGCGCGGAGGAAGATAGTCTAGTACTGGTGTAACTCTCCAGGAATGATGGTTGGGAAACTACCCGCCTATATGACTGAAATACTGTTGGGAAAAGGCGTAAAATGAAACAAACAAACAAACAAAATGTGTATTTATGTGAAAAGTAAGATTTATAAATATATTTTAGGACTTAAGGTAAAACTATTTTATGTATACATTATTGTATTAATATATCAATATTTTAGGGTGTGAGTCAATATAAAAACTAGGATTATATATTAACCAGCAAATGTAAGAATTAACCTCTTGTGCATTATATATTGTAGGACTGTAGGCAATGTAATAACTCAAATTATTATATTTCAGGATCAGTGCTAATGTATAGTAAAACCAGAGTTAATGTATTATAGGACCATAGTTTATTTATTATATGACCATAGTTCATGTATTGTGAGACCATAGTAAATGTATTATAGGACCATAATTAATGTATTAATTGTAAGATCATAGTTAATGTATTATAGGACCATGGTTAATGTATTATAGGACCATAGTAAATGTATTATAGGAGCATAGTTAATGTATTATAAGACCATAGATAACCTATTATAAGACCATAGTGATGGTCATAGTTAATGTATTTTAAGACAATAGTTAACATATTATAGGTCCTGTAAGACCAGAGTTAATGTATTATAAGACCATAGTTAATGTATTGTAAGACTAGAGTTAATTTATTATAGGACCATACTTAATGTAAAAACTAACATTTTGTAAATATATTTCAGGGCTGGAGTTGAAGATTGATCTGGTAGAGACACCATGTTTGCAAGATGGTCTTACATGACTAAAGTTGTCATCATTCTGAACTCTGTTACAAATGTCATTCAAGGTATTTTCTTGAATTACCATATTTACCCTTATTAGTAAACCAAGGCACACTTATCAATGTGGCGATACCTTTATAATATGGAACTCTTGCATTTTGGAGAACATTTGAGCTATGAAAAAATGACTGTACTCAACTGTTCTTTGAAGTAATAAGGTGAAATGAAGTATATTTAATTAAGTGTAACAGATGTAAACATTGGTAATGTATTTACTCTATTTACTGGATATGTGGTACTTTTTATATGTTTACATATAACCCGATGAATATCAAAGGCTAAGGGGAGTCTGTGTGCATAGCTTTGTCATTGTCTGTCTGTCCTAATGTCTGTATGAAGACTGATTAAACAACTGAATGATGTGGCATCTATCCTTTTCCTATGGACACATTTCTAGTTGCTATTTCTTAAATCCTTATGGGATGTTGTGGTTCTACTAAGATGCCCATTTGGCCTGAAATAATGCATAAAGGGGCAACTAAGGTCTTCCTTCACCATTTAAGCTGGACAGTCACCATATAACCTTTACTGTGTTGGTGCAACATAAAACAAATAAAAATAAAAAATTCTTAAATCATGATTGATTGTGCAATGATTATAGCATTATGATTTTTCCTGTTCATTTCTTTTTGGGGAAATTTGAAAAACCAAGAAATTTTATTAGAAAGGGTTTTATTAACTCCCAGTATTTATCTTGCAAAAAGTTTTGGTTAATTTTTTATATGCCCCTAACTTTATTTAGATTTCCCAAATTAAAAAGGGGGTTTTAAACATTTTTTGTAAAAATTTATTAAAAATAAACGGGGAATTGTGCCACTTTTGATCTTTTTTAAAGAAAAGCCCTTTAAAATCAAAATAAACCTTTATGGGGAACCCAAAAATTTGATTTTTTCTTTTTCCCCCGGTTTTAAGCTTACCATAGTCAGTCTTTTTAAAACTTTGAAATTTTTGTCTTAGGGCTTCATCGGGTTTAAAAACCCCAAAAGCTTTATAATTTTTTTTTTTTTGGGGCCCTCAAAGGTTTCATTGCCCCTTTATTTTAAAACCTTTTTTTTTAAGGCCCTTTTCCCCAAAAAAATTTTTCAATGTACCCTTTAAAAAAATTTGGGAAATATTTTAAAAAACTTTTGAAATGGAAACAACAAGTTTTCAAAAATTGTAAAAATAAAAAAAGTCAAATCATTAAGATAAAAATTTTTGGGGTTTTTAAGGGCATTTTATCAATGAAAAACCTATTTTTTTTTTGTCCCTTTTAAACTTACGGCGGCACCTAAGGTTTCTTTCTCTCTTATTTTTAAAAGTCCCCTTTTAAAACCTACACAGAGTAATTTTGTAACTGAAACAAAAATTAAAAAAAAAAATTGGTAAAATATTTTGTTTAAAAAATAAAATTTTTTTATATTTAATATAGGTAAAGATTTACTACTGAACCTTCAGACCAGGTTGCTGCCCTTGTCCAGTCGTTGCTATGGAATTGTGAGGCCACGGATGACACCAATGTTGTCACTTACAGGTATAAACCCATTTAAAAATCAAGTGTTAAATCCTGTTTATTAAGATCATTCACATATACACAGAAATTAATATGGTCTTTTTATCAAGGTGGTCTCTTGTCTCTTGTAAAGAGTAGTTTTGCTATGTAGTACTATGTATTGAACAGTAGGAAACCTGAAATGCTGAAATGTATCCCTTTGTTCTTTACTGCAACTTTAAAAAAAAGCTATTAAAAAAATCATCAATCGCCATCAGTCTTGCACAGGTATATTTTGTCAACTATATACAAGTTCAGAGTTTTCTCAAGAACAAATTAGACAGTAAAAAAGAGAAAATATTATGGGCTTCAGTGGAAAAATATATATAACACTAAGTCTTAGTCTTTCAAAGTACATTTTTATGGGTATAAGAGGAAATTGATTTAGATGAATATGTACAATGAATACGTACAATGCAACTGCATAATTATATGAATGTATATAAATGGCTGGCAGCTTGATTAATTCTGTTACTGAATACTGTCATTGTATACTGATCAACAATATGCAGAGATCATGCTAAGTTACATGATATAATATAGAATTCTAATTGACTTTCCTTCTCTCACACCACATGTTGCTTATAATCAATAATATTTCATTTTGTTTTGTAGGATGAAAGCACCTGTGACATAGATTTCTGTAAAAATATTTCAATTTGTATCTTATAAAAGCACTGGTGTCACAGATTTATATTGAAAAAAAAATCTTGAATTTGTATATATTTGTAACATTACTGAATACTAATATTAATGTATGATATTTAAATTGTTATTGTATGAAAAAAGGTTTAACTTGCTAAATGATATTACTGATTTGATCTGTTTTGACACCTGGAACTGTCCATTCATTGTCAGAATCATAAACATATATCAGCATTGAGATTTTGGCTGATATCTAGTAATTAGAGGTGTGTCACAGACAGCTATTTCCAAAGTTTGGTATTACAAATAAAATTGCAGCAGCCAATTAAATTCAGCTTTCAATATTACAAATATGAACAATTTCCAGCAAAAAAGCATAGAAAATTTACTGTTACTTATATTTTTTACCTTCCCTGTTGAATATAAATTTTGTTAAACGCAATTGCGTTGGTTGATATTTTACGCACCTATTGCTGTTTATCAATGCAAATCGATTAATTTTACCTATGACTTGAGTACATGTAATTCAACTATGGGTATCCAACGATCCCAGCTGTCCATTATGAAGACATTCTTTATTACTAAGAAGCCATTCATTGGTACAAAGTCTTGTTAAATTGAATGAAAGATAAAATATTATATCACACAAAATTGATAGTCTTGTCTGCTTATAGTTGATTGGTTGAATCTGACTTTGCTAGCATTTGATTGGCTTGTTCATATGTTGTATTTGATTGACTTATTGAGTTATTGTCATTGAAATCAACCAATTGCAGTGCGACATGTGACGATTGACCTCATACTTACGTTCACCATTCTTAATTTTATTAATAGGTGATAAACGAAAAAATCATCAAGAATATTTTTAAAGTAAATGTACAATTTATTATTTCATTTTATTTGTAGAATTATTGCTAGTGTCACATATTTACATTTAAAATTTTTCACTTTTACAGATGGACATTCAATTCTGCCAAACTTCCGTTGCATGAAAACCACGTAATTTATAGTAATGGGTCCTTGTTTATACGGAAAGTGACGTACAACGATGTTGGGTTGTATGTATGCTCGGCCTCAGCAGGGGGGACAACTGTGTCAAGCCGAGCAGCCAATCTAAATATAGCATGTAAGTTTTGACTTGAGTCATAATTGATTTTTGTTATATAAAATGAAAGTGTCACAAACATCTGTGAATAGTTTGTTAACAGAAAACAAGTTGATGCTTTTGTTTCCTTTGATGTCAACACTTTTCCTACATGTTACGTGACATTTTCAGATTGGAACTTAATTATTTACGAGCATTAGAATAGATAGATTGTCAGCTTATGATGTAAGCTTTGTCTGTATGTGTCACATTGAATGTTTATTGAATTACACCTGCCAGGTGTTGCAGTATGCCTTTCCTAGATAGATCTTAGTTTTATATCTTTTTCACTATTCATGTACACATGTAACTTGATTTATTCAATAGCTTTGAAAATTGTGTCACGGTATTGAACATGTCATTAAAACGGGGAAAAGCTGATAGCTCAGTTTATAGAGCTGCTGTACACTATTACAAGGGTCCCTGGTTCCACGATTGTAATCTATTTTGTTGTCAATATTTCAGATATTAACCCAACATTTAGTGTACAGCCTGTATCACAGACAGCAATTCTAGGTGACAATGTTATATTATCATGTTATATTGAGAGTCTACCACCAGCAGACGTACAATGGACCCTTGATGGCGAGAGTGTAACAAGAGGCGAAATAAGTCAAAACAGTAGTGGTAGGTAGTTTATTTCTGCTGTAAATTCTTTTAATTAATTTATTCAGCTTACACTGGCAATTATGGTATGACCTGGCAATATTTTTAATATTTTTTTCAGAATCATGCAGATTTCTTTGCTTGTTGTTACCTTAGGAACCTGCTGAAAACCTAATACTGGAGGTCTGTACAACAAGATTTTCAAAATAAACATGTCCCATCCCTTACATCTAGTATTAAGGTTTACGAATTCAAGAAATAGTAGCCTTCACACATTAAGATTTGCATGTACATCTTAGTTTTAATTGGTGTTGTACTTCAAAATCCTACTGTCTGTTGAGCCCTTAAAGATCATCCATGTGAGCATAAGCATTTGCAAATAGTTCCAATAGGGAAACTTGTCCATGATTACTAGTATACATCGACTTTACCTGTCAGCTTTAATTGAAACACTAGGTTATCTGATTTGTACCAGGGTGTGCCATTTTGATTTTCAACTTTTCATGGAAAAAAAAATCCTTGAGTTAAATTAATGCATTCCTGAACAAAGAGCAGGGGAAGAATGAATCTATAAATATCTAAGAAATTGTTCCAGTCCAAGTCAAAACTAATTAATCTACTGATACATGATGACATTATTTAGATAAAAAATGACGAAATGGTAAAGAAATGTTACATTTTATCAAATTTTTGTGGTAAGAAAAAAGGGAGAAAATTGTTGGATACTTGAATTAATTTGATAACATCAGCTGTTACCTGTGATAAGATATAAACAATTAAGTTCCTGGTAATTGATTGACAGTATGATAGGTAAAGAATGATCATGGCATGGTATGTGGGACATGTGTGTTGCTATTTTTAGAAACAAATTAATTACTTAATTGATTAGTAGTGAACAGTGTTTTTATTTTAAGCTATTTTACTCTAAGCTTGCATGACAAGTTCAAGAGATTTTGGATTGTTCTGATTAAATTGCTGGAAATAGAATTGTACCGAAATTCATTCGATTTTTTTTCTTTGTCTTTTTTTTGTACTGAAATATATTTTCATGTCTAATATTTTTATCAAATATTATGATATTACTTATTATGATGATAAAAAAAAATCTTTACCTAACTGAATTTTAATATACAACTGTCATATACATATATAGGGCACCCTGCCTTGAATTTCCAACCTGTTGTTAACTTTTTAGGAATTATGAATGTGAATATTATAATACTTGATTGGAGCAGGCAAAAGTTCAAGATAACTAATACTCTTCTGGAGGAATCACCCATAGGGTAACCAGTGGCAAGTATAAATAAAGTCAAACACATACATAACAGTAAAGGCTCAGTATTGCCATAGATGAAATGGCCGACCTGGCTGTGTACTAGTATCCTAGATGTATCATTATATAGTATCAATTACTCTCTTCATGATTCAAAATGTTCAATTACATAAAAATTATTCTTGTAAAATACATGTATTATTATTTTGTTTAGGAGCAAGCACGCTGACCCTGTATCCAGTGATGTATTATCATGTAGGAACATACAAGTGTGTAGGGTCCAATCCTTTAACAGGTGTTTATAGATACAGTAATGATGGTAGATTAGTTGTTCAAGGTAAGTTAATTCCTTAACATGTCCATTGATTATCCCCTTACACAGCAATACTTGTTGCATTTCAAGCGACCTGCAGCTTTTCTAAAGGGTAAATAATATTACTTTTAGATAAATCGTTTCATATAATAAAATTATTGTCAAAACAATTAAGGTTGAAAAATGAATTTTGCTATGAATTATTTTAATCGCAAACAATAAGAAAACCCCCTGTTATGTATTATCTACCGGTTTGCTCTCTATATATATAAATTTGTAAAATGGACGATTTGTTTCCCGATCTATTTTGGATACAAATGTCACTGACGTGTTATAGATAGCTGTTGGACGCTATTTTGAAGAAGGCTCACTTTTCCAGGATAAAATAACTGACATATTTAGTTTGAAACAACACAGAATTGTTTTCATTTTCAACAAAAAATTAAAACCTGAAGGCCACTTTAAGCCTGAACTATATACATGCAGTTTAACCCAATATGAAATATATTGTGAATCAGGTGAACCCATGTTACAAATTCATATTCACATGAATATGCAATTTATTTATTGTTATGAAAAACCAATTAAGATTAAAGCTGTAAATTGTTTTTGAAAATTACATTATAATATGGCAATATTAAGAGCTCTGTATAACTGTATAAAAAAAGGCTAACTATTACTAACAGGCTAACCAGTACAATGAATGTTAAGTTTCTTGCTCAAGGAAACAACGGCTTGCCACAGATGGGGTTTGAACCCACACGGTCAGCAATCCTTAAATTAATAGTTTGACACATTAACCACTCGGCCACCCTTCCTCTCAATAATAATGTTCATATTTAATAATGCTCATAATGATAATGATAATGGTGATGATGCTTATGATTTTTACCAATTATATATCTTAGTTAACTTATAAAAGTTAGCAAGTAGCTTTAAATTTTTTTCTTCCAAGCTTTGAGAATAATACAGGTTGCTGTTTGTGTAACTATACTTGTACTTATTTAATGTAGGCAACATTTGCATAAGTTTATTTTGATATATTCAAATTTATTAAACAAATTGATGGAACTTATGATGTGAAAATATGGGCCTTTCATTGGTATATGCTAGATTTATTTTCTAATTGATGAGTTAATTAAATTTACTTTTGATAGTCTCACATGTGGATATTCCTTACATGAATCATTATGTAATTTCTACACTTTTATTTATTTGACAGGTCAGCCTGTATTTTTATCATCACTAGCATCAGTATCTGTGCCGGTTGGCTTCCAGGCTAAATTTATATGTTATTTCCATGGCAACCCAGAACCAAAGGTCACATGGTTTATGCACAGGGCAACAAATGATGATGTCATTAGTAAAGAAATAATGGTATTATTCTTTAGATTTGGTTGTTGTTGTCATCTTTTAGCTTTAAACTTTAATATATTATCTTAGGGTAAGTGGATAAGGTGACTTAATTGAAAATCAATTGGCCTCATATCACTGCTATGGGTTCAAAGTCAGCTTAGCACTATGGATTCTTTCATGCGAGGAAGCTATCTTACTAACTTGAGCAACTCTAGTGCTTCATCATTTCTGAAATAAATTACAGTGAGGTACCTAATTTCTTCCTCTACCACTAAAGCTGTATAATGTTTAACATTGTCATTATGACTCGAAAAACAAAAATTATCTTTATCAAAGACTGGTATTTTGCATGAGTGGAATTTTCTTCGCCAGGATCCTTTGTGATAAACTTCCAAATTTGATCTAACATAGCACATTGCACAAGACTCATATACAAGACAAAGATTTAGGTTTTTCAAAAGGTTCCACAGATATTCACTGGTAGTGTAACAAAATAATAAGGTTTACACTTGTCTGAGGTGCCAATGATGTTTTTGCTGCAGTGGTGGGTGCGGGATGGTTTTCGGTTCATATTATCCATGCAAATATATTTATAGGTATCATCAATTTGCGTATTTTATTTGTAACTTATTTAGTGCTACAACATGATGCTATCTACTTAAGATACCTGTTTATACCTTATACACACATTGGCACTGTTCCTGCTCAAGTAAAGCTTGTGCTCTATGAAAATGTCAATAGGAAAAATCTTTGTCATTCTGTATAAAATCAATCCTTTGTTGAATCTATACATGTTATGTTCATAAACTTAGTTAGATATTTATCTTTACATGTATATCAAATAATTATCTTATGGCATTTATTAGTTCCAAACCAAGATATAAACCTCTACACTTGTCATTTCAATTATCTTCCAATTATTTTATCTAGATCAGACCATGTTATTATTGTAAAAGCACAGATACTGTTGTATTTTTGCTATAAAGTAGCTATGCTAGTTTAATGTTGGCTATTCCTTGCCCAAGATGCCTAACATAATACACAACATTATTTCCTCAAATTGTCATTACTACTTGTTAGTACAAGAATTTGGCTTGAAATATATTAAGTTTTTTTAACCCTTCATGCTAAAAAAACAAATCTGCTCTTTCCTTTGGGGAAAATTTATCAGGGGGAAATGCAAAACATTGACTTTCGATTATTAGACCTGATAATGGACGGAGTTGGCTGTCTTTTCTATTTATAGTAAAAAAAAAGGTCTACCATATTTTTTAAGCAAAAAAATTTTTTGTTAAGATTTCAAAAAGGGAAAATTTGTGTGTTTGTAATGGACATTTTTTTACATGTAAGGAGTAGACAGGTTTATTTTTTACATTCCCCACGGGGGAATTATTTGGGGGAGAGTCTAAATTTGCCAATTTCAAAAAGGTCTATTTCAGTAAAGCTGTCTATAACAAGTTTTAAAAAACTGATGGAAACTAATGGAAAGCAATTTTTAAATCTTTAAAAAATTATTTTTTTATTTATTTTTTTTAAGTTTGCTCTCCAATTAAACCTTTTTATAGGGAGGACTTCGTCGAAAATTGAATAAAGTCATTTCTTTGCTGTTGGCATATATGGATAATTATAGTACATGGTTCTTTTTAAAGTAATAAGGTTTCCCATTTGAAATACTTTGACCATCACAGCTATAAATTTGAATCTCACCAGGGAGATTGAATTCTTTCATGCCATGAAGGTTCCCAGCTAGCTAACTAAATGTTTTTTGTTTTATTAATGTCTGTACTGAAATAATAAGAAGAGGCAAATGGTACCATATATCATCCTCCAACAATTTACATATTTATTTCATTCATTATCTTTTGTTTAGGACCTGCGTTTCCTCCAGAATTTACCTTGAGACCATCAAACAATACAGTACAGGAAGGTTACTCTGTAACTTTCCTCTGTACATGTTCCGGAAATCCTGAACCAACACATACATGAAAAAAAGGTTTGTGCTTTATTGGTTTTTTTTGTTTTAGTGGTTTTAAAATACTTTTTTTTTTCATTTTAAAGGGTTTCAACTTTGCTGAATTGTTGTTTAATTTATATTATTTTATTAATGATAATTGTATAAACATATCTTGGGAAACTTTAATTTACATTCTTAAATTTATATATCAAATTCCCCCAGAGAGTAAATACAGAAAGGTAGTCTTATCCACTTAAAAAATTTACAAAATTTAAAGATATCATTGAAAACATGATTAAAATAAAAATAAATTTATTTTATTTGAGAAAATATCCTATTGAAAGGATTTGATTTAAGCTTGTTTTATCAAAAATTAAAAAATTTAAAAACATTTCTTTTAAATGTTTTTTAAATGGGAAAAATTTTTTAATGTGAATAACTCAAAAGGATTCGTAAAGGATTTTGAAATTTAATTTGGCACTTAATATGACTATAACTGTGTCATGTGAAACACCCAGAACATCAAGGTCACACTTCGAAATCAAAGCCCAATTTAGCATTCTTTGTTGGGAACATTAGTAACTCTGTTCAAATTTTTTGTTGAAAAGTTTGTTATCTTTGATGTAAAGTCTTATTTCATCATTTAAAGTTGATTATAGTTCTTGTTCTACATAAAATACAATGTATGTTATATTGAATTCCTAATCTAGAATAAATTACTTTGATTTCAGGATTCAGTTGAAGTATCAGAAAACAGCAGTTTGTCAATAAATGATGCCCAGTCCGAGGAGATATAGGCTGGTACACATGTTTTGTGAGAATAGTGTTGGAATAGAGTCACAGTCTGTCTATCTTGATGTCTACAGTAAGTTTTTAAAACTGTGCAGAGCCGGCAAAATCTGAATTTGACTTACTTGTCCATTTTTAGCTCACCTGTCACAAAGTGACAGGGTGAGCTTTTGTGATCGCTTTTCGTCCTGCGTCCGTCCATCGTCCGTCCGTAAACTTTTACTTTAAATGACATCTCCTCATAAACCACTTAGCCAATTTCATCCAAACTTCACAGGAAATGTTCCTTTGGTGGTCACCTTTAAAAATTGTTCAAAGAATATAATTCCATGCAGAACTCTGGTTGCCATGGCAACCGAAAGAAAAAACTTTAAATATCTTCTTTTAAAAAAACCCAAAGAGCTAGAGCCTTTAGATATTTGGCATGAAACATCATCTAGTGAGTGTTCCAAATTTTTTCAAATAAAAACCCCGGGGGCAAAAAATTTGGCCCCCCCCCCATGGGCATTGATTTTTTCCCCATATGCTAAAATTAGAAACCCCCAAAAAAATCTTTTTTAAAGGAACCCCTAAAAGTTTAAAAAGGGTAAATATTTCTGAAACATTTTTTCTAATAATTTGGGGCTACCCTTTTTTCAAATTGGTTTTGGGGTTTAAATTCCCCCCCAAGGGGGTTTGTTTTATTAATATATAGTTTTAAAAATTAAAAAAACTTTTTTTAAAGAACCCTAGAGCTGGCTAAAATATTTTTGCATTGAAACGTCTTTTAATAAGTTCTTTCCAAATTTTTTTCAAATAAAAGCCCTGGGGTCAAAAAAAGGGCCCTGCCCCAGGGGGGGTTTATTGATTTTCCCCATATGCATATGTAAAAAAATTTAAAAATCTTCTTTTGAAGAACCCAAAGAGCTAGAGCTAAGATATTTAGCATGAAACATGTTCTAATGGGTGTCTACAAAGTTTGTTCAAATAAAAGCCCTGGGGTCAAAATTGGCCCCGCCCCGGGGGTCATTGATTTTCCTTATATGTGTATAGCAAAAACTTAAAAAATCTGCTTTGAAAAAACCCAAATAGCTAGAGTTTAGATATTAAGCATGAAACATCTTCTAGTAAAGTGTCTACAAAGTTTGTTCAAATAAAAGCCCTGGGGTTAAAACTGGCCCCGCCCAAGAGGTGTCATTGTTTTTAACTATATGTGTATAGTAAAAACTTAAAAAATCTTCTTTTAAAAAACCCAATGAGCTAGAGGTTAGATTGTTAAGCAGGAAACATCTTTTTGTGGGTGTCTACCAAGTTTGTTCAAATAAAAGCCCTTGGGTTAAAATTGACCCTGCCAAAGGGGGGGGGGGGCGGAGGTCATTGTTTTTCATTATATGTGTGTAGTAAAAACTTAACATCATGAAACTTCTTCTAATGGATGTCTTCCAAGTTTGTTCAAATAAAAGCCCTGGGGTTTAAACTGGCCCGCTCTGGGGGCCTATATACAGGTGAGCGACCTCAGGGCCAACATGGCCCTCTTGTTATATTTCTTAACTTGTTTGTATGATATTAATTAAATATACAATGTTGTAAATTCTTGAAAATTTAACTTGTCAACAGGTTGTGGGACAATCTGGGCAATATGGACAATTGATTTTTCTGCCCGTATATGGACAATTGATGTTAACTTAAAATAAGCCATTCTGACTTAAACTCAACATTCTGGGAAAGAAAAATTGAAATTCAATAAAAAAACATTGTTCTGTTTACATTATTATAGCTCGACCAATAATCATCCAGCCACCAGAAGAAGAAGAGTGTAACCTTGGAGATATGGTTTTCTACATTTATTACCACGCGTCCCACCCCAAGTGTTTACTGGCTTAAAAATTGTTCTGTCCTTCCCAGACAATCTTTACACACATTTTCTCAATTGTGTTTAAAGTTATCAGTTTCTATGTCTAACCATTTATATCTATTGACTTAAAGCAGCCTTCTGCTCTCATTCTTCAAAACAGAGCAATTTATAGTGCACCAGTGATGTTCGTTTCTAAAAATAGAAGTTTTATATCAACTGTTGATATTTGGATATGATCTGTCAAGAATTTTTATAATGAATATAGTCAATACTATCAAACACCTTTAACCGGGAAAAAACTGCCCTTACATATATTTACTCGCCATGTATATTAAAATCTTTATAAACACACAATATCAAATTTAAAAAACACATTTTCTCACCCTGTGACATCTGGCGCCCAATGTGAAGCCCCTGATGGTATAAGCTACAAGTTCAATTTCAAGTTCTCTTTACCCGAGGATGAATTTCAATATAGCGGGGGAGTATGTCACGGTTCAGAACTGTTCTCTATTTAGGTGAGAAGATGTGTAAGCGGCGGGATAGCTCAGTTGGTAGAGCTGCGGTACGTTATTCCGAGGGTCCCAGGTTCGAGTCCCAGTCAGGCTGCACATTTTTCTCACCCTGTGACACATGTATTAAAAGGATGAAAAGTAAAAGAATAGCTTATGAAATGCTCTTACTGTTCTGTAGATCTATATAAGATTATAAAAAGAACAAGTCAATTAAATCATGCAAAACTTTGAAAAAAAAACAGGGTTTGCTAAAATTTCAGTAAAATATTATCAAAAGAAAAAGAATTGCCCTTTATTTTGGGAATCTTGATGATTTTTTTTCTCAAGATCTATTATAGTTTTGTTGTACATGTATAGGGATTATTTAAGGTAATAAAATGGCTCTAGGTCAGAATAAAAAAAGTTTAATAAGAGTTATTTTATTACAGGAAGTGTTATAACATCTATGACTGGAGTTGTGTTGTATTCTAATGGTAGTCTACATATATCATCAGCAACATTAGATGATACAGGGGAATATACATGTCTAGCTAGGAATATTGCTGGTATGGTAGAGGCTTCAACCTCCGTCTCTGTGCATGGTGAGTATTATCTCCTGTTTCTTTTACAATAGCCTATGCATGTATGTTAGGCCTACAAAGTACATTATTGAATTTACAAATGACTGATTTCTCACTTGCGCAAATTCAAATGCAGCCAAGGACAATGTACTCCTTCTCAAAAAGGCAAAGTCTTAGTGTTCAGTTATTAAGGTGCTCTTCCTTTTATAATATATACATTAAATGAACTGTTTAGCAACACTTTGACTGCTTGCAAAGCTGGCAAGATCACGGGTAAATGAAATGGTATTTATTTAGTTTGATGATAAAGTGAATCATTGTCAAAATTGGTTATTAATAGTCATTGCCCTTAACAGATAAGTGTAAATAACGCTGTGCTCTTGTTTAATAAGTGACAGTTTTCTATGCTTAGTCCTAGTGTCAGTATCCCATTTGTTGTCATTATTTAGGAGATACAAATAGGAATAAAGTCATGTTGACTCTAATGATTTGATAAAATGCATTTAATTGAAAATTAACAGCAAAATATTTTACAATCCACTATTTTAATTGCATCTTATCTTATATCAGTTGCCCCAGAGCTGACCTTGCTACCATTGAGTCAAGGTGTGAAGGTCGGGTCAAAGGTCTTCCTACATTGTCAGGCTAATGGAGTACCAGATCCAACATATTCCTGGTCCAAAGATGGAGAGGGTATGATCATATCATCATCTGATAGACAGGTACTTGTACACTAATTACCTTGTTAACTGTACTAATTACCTTGTTTAACAGTACTAATTACCTTGTTAACTGTACTAATTACCTTGTTAACTGTACTAATTACCTTGTTACTTACTAATTACCTTGTTAACTGTACTAATTACCTTGTTAACTGTACTAATTACCTTGTTAACTGTACTAATTACCTTGTTAACTGTACTAATTACCTTGTTAACTGTACTAATTACCTTGTTAACTGTACTAATTACCTTGTTAACTGTACTAATTACCTTGTTAACTGTACTAATTACCTTGTTAACTGTACTAATTACCTTGTTAAACTGTACTAATTACCTTTGTTAACTGTACTAATTACCTTGTTAACTGTACTAATTACCTTGTTAACTTACTAATTACCTTGTTAACTGTACTAATTACCTTTTAACTGTACTTATTACCTTGTTAACTGTACTTTATTACCTTGTTAACTGTACATACCTGTTAACAGTAATTACCTTGTTAACTGTACTAATTACATCGTTAACTGTACTTATTACCTTGTTAACTGTACTAATTACCTCGTTAACTTACTTATTACCTTGTTAACAGTACTAATTACCTACCTCGTTAACTGTACTAATTACCTTGTTAACTGTACTAATTACCTCGAGTTAACTGTACTTATTACCTGTTAACAGTACTAATTACCTTGTTAACTGTACTAATTACCTTGTTAACTGTACTAATTACCTTGTTAACTGTACTTATTACCTTGTAACAGTACTAATTACCTTGTTAACACGTACTAATTACCTTGTTAACTGTACTAATTACCTTCGTTAACTGTACTTATTACCTTGTTAACTGTACTAATTAACCTTGTTAACTGTACTAATAACCTTGTTAAACAGTACTAATTACCTTGTTAACTGTACTTATTACCTTGTTAACAGTACTAAATTACCTTGTTAACTGTACTTATTACCTTGTTAACTGTACTAATTACCTTGTTAACTGTACTTATTACCTTGTTAACTGTACTAATTACCTTGTTAACTGTACTTATTACCTTGTTAACTGTACTAATTACCTTGTTAACTGTTACTTAATTACCTTGTTAACAGTACTAATTACCTTGTTAACTGTACTAATTACCTTGTGTTAACTTGTACTAATTACCTTGTTAACTGTACTAATTACCTTGTTAACTGTACTTAATTACCTGTTAACTGTACTAATTACATCGTTAACTGTACTAATTACCTTGTTAACTGTACTAATTACCTTGTTAACTGTACTAATTACCTTGTTAACTGTACTAATTACCTTGTTAACTGTACTAATTTACCTTGTTAACTGTACTAATTACATCGTTAACTGTACTAATTACCTTGTTAACTGTACTAATTACCTTGTTAACCTGTACTAAATTACCTTGTTAACTTGTACTTATTACCTTGTTAAACTGTTACTAATTACCTTTGTAACTGTACTAATTACCTTGTTAACTGTACTAATTACCTTGTTAACTGTACTAATTACCTTGTTAACTGTACTAATTACCTTGTTAACCTGTACTTATTACCTCGTTAACTGTACTAATTACCTCGTTAACTGTACTAATTACCTTGTTAAACTGTACTAATTTACCTTGTTTAACTGTACTAATTACCTTGTTAACTGTACTTATTACCTCGTTAACTGTACTTATTACCTTGTTAACTGTACTTATTACCTTGTTAACTGTACTTATTACCTTGTTAACTGTTACTAATTACCTCGTTAACTGTACTAATTACCTTGTTAACTGTACTAATTACCTCGTTAACTGTACTTATTACCTTGGTTAACTGTACTTATTACCTTGTTAACTGTACTTTATTACCTTGTTAACTGTACTAATTACCTCGTTAACTGTACTTAATTACCTTGTTAACTGTACTAATTACCTCGTTAACTGTACTAATTACCTTGTTAACTGTACTAATTACATCGTTAACTGTTTACTAATTACCTTGTTAACTGTACTAATTACATCGTTAACTGTACTTAATTACCTTGTTAACTGTACTAATTACATCGTTAACTGTACTTAATTACCTTGTTAACAGTACTAATTACCTCGTTAACTGTACTAATTACCTTGTTAACTGTACTAATTACCTTCGTTAACTGTACTAATTACCTTGTTAACTGTACTAATTACCTCGTTAACTGTACTAATTACCTTGTTAACTGTACTAATTACACCGTTAACTGTACTAATTACCTTGTTAACTGTACTTATTACCTTGTTAACTGTACTTATTACCTTGTTAACTGTACTAATTACCTCGTTAACTGTACTAATTACCTCGTTAACTGTACTAATTACATCGTTAACTGTACTAATTACCTTGTTAACTGTACTAATTACCTTGTTAACTGTACTAATTACCTTGTTAACTGTACTAATTACCTTGTTAACTGTACTAATTACCTTGTTAACTGTACTAATTACCTTGTTAACTGTACTAATTACCTTGTTAACTGTACTAATTACCTTGTTAACTGTACTAATTACCTGTTAACTGTACTAATTACCTCGTTAACTGTACTAATTACCTCGTAACTGTACTAATTACATCGTTAACTGTACTAATTACCTCGTTAACTGTACTAATTACATCGTTAACTGTACTAATTACCTTGTTAACTGTACTAATTACCTTGTTAACTGTACTAATTACCTTGTTAACTGTACTAATTACCTCGTTAACTGTACTAATTACCTTGTTAACTGTACTAATTACCTCGTTAACTGTACTAATTACCTTGTTAACTGTACTAATTACACCGTTAACTGTACTAATTACCTTGTTAACTGTACTTATTACCTTGTTAACTGTACTAATTACCTTGTTAACTGTACTAATTACATCGTTAACTGTACTAATACATCGTTAAACTGTACTAATTACCTTGTTAACTGTACTTATTACCTTGTTAACTGTACTAATTACCTTGTTAACTGTACTTATTACCTTGTTAACTGTACTAATTACCTTGTTAACTGTACTTATTACCTCGTTAACAGTACTAATTACCTTGTTAACAGTACTAATTACCTCGTTAACTGTACTAATTACCTCGTTAACTGTACTAATTACCTCGTTAACTGTACTAATTACCTTGTTAACTGTACTAATTACCTTGTTAACTGTACTTATTACCTTGTTAACTGTACTAATTACCTTGTTAACTGTACTAATTACCTTGTTAACTGTACTAATTACATCGTTAACTGTACTAATTACCTTGTTAACTGTACTAATTACCTTGTTAACTGTACTAATTACCTTGTTAACTGTACTAATTACCTTGTTAACTGTACTTATTACCTTGTTAACTGTACTAATTACCTTTGTTAACAGTACTAATTACCTTGTTAACAGTACTAATTACCTTGTTAACTGTACTAATTACCTTGTTAACTGTACTTATTATCTTGTTAACTGTACTAATTACATCGTTAACAGTACTAATTACCTTGTTAACTGTACTTATTACCTTGTTAACTGTACTTATTACCTTGTTAACTGTACTAATTACCTTGTTAACTGTACTAATTACCTTGTTAACTGTACTTATTACCTCGTTAACTGTACTAATTACCTTGTTAACTGTACTAATTACCTTGTTAACTGTACTTATTACCTTGTTAACTGTACTAATTACATCGTTAACTGTACTTATTATCTCGGTTTCATGTGACATCATCAATGACTTACCTAATGTATAAGGATATCTTAATTCACTAACTTTGTATGCTTGACAAAATCTTTAGTAATTAAAACAATTAAATCTGTGAGCCTGCTGCTTAAAATTTATAATACATAAGCTTCATAATGCCACTGTCTTACATTTAGAGTGAAAATAGATCTGTTCATTGTCATAAAATATGAGTGTGACACTGTGAAATCTTGTATACATTGTGTACATATTGACAATGCCAGTAAAACAAGATGAAAAATTAATAAATCTGACTACTTATGCTTTTATTTGCACAGCCTGCTCCTTTATGCACAGTTTGTGTAGTAATTAATCAAGATAATTATCTTTAAAGTATCAGGTTTTAATTGATTTGTACCTCTTGTCACTTCTGCAATATACAGTTGATAACTATTAGCTGTTAAGCCTTTCGTCCCACCACAAGAAAACTGTATATTGCTTGAGATTGCCCACATTGCACCATTACTTTTGCTAAAGATACTGTAACAGTATTTTGTTTTTATTTATTTTCGGTAGATATATTTGAACAATACTTTGGTCATACATTCTGTAACAAAACAAGATGAAGGTGTGTACAGATGTATAGCCGGTAATGATCTAGGTGTGACACAAGCCGTGGCAGCTATCACTGTCACAGGTAAGGTACATTCTTATAACTGTCACAGATATAACTGTCACAGGTGGACTACATTGTTATTACTGTCACAGGTAAGAGCCATTGTTATTACTGTAACAGGTAATATACAATATTATTTATGTCTAAAGGTGGACTACATTGTTATTACTGTCACAGGTAAGAGACATTGTTATTACTGTCACAGGTAAGATACATTGTTATTACTGTCACAGGTGAGAGACATTGTTATTACTGTCACAGGTAAGGTACATTGTTGTTACTGTCACAGGTGGTAGAGACATTGTTATTACTGTCACAGGTAAGATACATTGTTATTACAGTCACTGGTGGAATACATTGTTATTACTGTCACAGGTGGGATACATTGTTATTACTGTCACAGGTAAGATACATTGTTATTACAGTCACTGGTGGAATACATTGTTATTACTGTCACAGGTGGGATACATTGTTATAACTGTCACAGGTAAGATAAATTGTTATCATGTCACAGGTAAGAGACATTGTTATTACTGTCACAGGTAAGATACATTGTTATTACTGTCACAGGTAAGACACATTGTTATACCCCTGCACAACAAAGTTGTAAGGGGGGTATACTGGAATCAGGTTGTCCGTCCGTCCCGCCGTCCGTCGGACGTCCGTCCGTCCGGCTGTCCGTCGGTTTTTTCTTGTCCGCCCAATAACTTAAGATTCCTTTGACTTTTAGTCTTCATATTTGGCATGGAGGTTAGTCATGATTAGTAGATGACCCCTATTGATTTTGAGGTCACCAGGTCAAAGGTCAAGGTCACAGGGGCCTTGACTTCAAAAAGCTTGTCCGCCCAATAACTTAAGATTCCTTGGACCTACAGTCTTCATATTTGACATGGAGGTTAGTCATGAAAAGTAGATGACCCCTATTGATTTTGAGGTCACCAGGTCAAAGGTCAAGGTCACAGGGGCCTTGACTTCAAAAAGCTTGTCCGCCCTATAACTTAAGATTCCTTTGACCTACAGTCTTCATATTTGACATGGAGGTTAGTCATGATAAGTAGATGACCCCTATTGATTTTGAGGTCACCAGGTCAAAGGTCAAGGTCACAAGGGCCTTGACTTCAAAAAGCTTGTCGGCCCAATAACTTAAGATTCTTTTGACTCATAGTCTTCATATTTGGCATTGAGGTTAGTCATGATAAGTAGATGATCCCTATTGACTTTGAGGTCAAAGGTCAAGGTCACAAGGGCCTTGACTTCAAAAAGCTTGTCCGCCAAAAACTTAATATTCCTTTGACCCACAGTCTTCATATTTGGCATGGAAGTTAATCATGATTAGTAGATGACCCCTATTGACTTTGAGGTCACCAGGTCAAAGGTCAAGGTCACAGGTGTCTTGAATTTAAAAAGCTTGTCCGCCCAATAACTTAAGATTTCTTTGACCCACAGTCTTCATATTTGTCATGAAGGTATGTCATGATTAGTAGATGACCCCTATTGACTTTAAGGTCACCAGGTCAAAGGTCATGGTCACAGGGGCCTTGACTATAAAAAGCTTGTCTGCCCAATAACTTAAGATGCCTTTGACCCACAGTCTTCATATTTGGAATGGAGGTTAGTCATGATTAGAAGATGACCCCTTTTGATTTTGAGGTCTTTGGATCAAAGGTCAAGGTCACAGGGACCTTGACAAAAAAAAGCTTTTCTTCTCAATTGCTAAAGAATGCCTGTCGGCAGTGTATTGATTTTGACATTTTCACATTTGAATCATGTAGAATACATAACTTAGCGATGCACTGGCTTAGTAACCTCAGATTTGGCAGGGAGGTTGTCCTTGAGCTCTAAATGGCCACTGTTGATTCTGACAAAGTGGTATGCGGGGAATTCTCGCCATGATAGTGGCAGTTCTAGTTATTACAGTAACAGGTAAGAGACATTGTTATTATTGTCACAGGTAAGATATATTGTTATAACTGTCACAGGTAAGATAAATTGTTATTACATTTACAGGTAAGAGACATTGTTATTACTGTCACAGGTAAGAGACATTGTTATTACTGTCACAGGTAAGAGACATTGTTATTACTGTCACAGGTAAGAGACATTGTTATTACTGTCACAGGTAAGAGACATTGTTATTACTGTCACAGGTAAGAGACATTGTTATTACTGTCACAGGTAAGAGACATTGTTATTACTGTCACAGGTGGAATACATTGTTATTACTGTCACAGGTAGAGACATTGTTATTACTGTCACAGGTAGAGACATTGTTACTACTGTCACAGGTAGAGACATTGTTATTACTGTCACAGGTAGATACATTGTTATTACTGTCACAGGTGGGATACATTGTTATTACTATTACTGTCACAGGTAAGAGACATTGTTATTTCTGTCAAAGAAAAGATACATTGTTATTACTGTCACAGGGAAGGTACATTGTTATTACTAGATGGGATGCATTTTATAAGTGTGATTGGTAAGATACAGATTTTTCATTTGCTTGTCAAAACTTGAAAACTTATTGTTTTGATTTTCAAACTTATCAGCACAATATTTAGGCATTTGAGGTATTTTATGAAAAAGCATTATTTTATAAATGTGTATTTTCATATGAAAATAAATGAATATTTAAATAGGTTTGTTAAATTTTGCTGATTTTTAATAATTATGGTGATTATTCTAAAATTCTTTGTTTTTTTAAAGGCATATGTTATTACAAACAAAGAAAAAAATTAATGAGTTTATTTTTTTACACAGTACCACCTAGTTTTACAACAGTACCAAGTAATCAGACAGTACAGGTTGGTAGCAGTGTACAACTAAGATGTGTGGCAGTTGGTGACCCTGTACCAACTCAAAGATGGACAAAAGATGATAGGCAACTTACCCTAGGTACAAAAATCTTTTCCAACTAGTTGCTATGCCTATACTCTCATGATTCCACAATCAAAGTATGTATAATAAAAAATGCAAGTTTTATTTATACAGTTTATTTCAAACCGAAAAAAAAAAGGAAAAATACTAGAGAAATGAACACTGGTAAAAAAGAAAAGAAACTGGTCACATCAAGGTGTATGAAGGTTCAAATTAAAGAAAATGTTATGCTAAGTTATCAAAAAACTCAGGATGGGTGGCAGAATATTTTAACTTTTTATTAATAGCTTAAAACAAACTCTTATTGAATGCATAAATATTGTTACCATGTATTTAACAGAATGATGTATTTTCATATTTCTTATAATTATTTCATTAGTTTATTGTACATGTATGTATATCTTATATATTTTAACATTTTAGATGGTAATATGGTGGTTAGTTTGGATCAGTCAACAGTTACAATAACTGAAATAAAGGCTATGCAATACGGCAAGTACACATGCACTGCTACAAATATAGCGGGCACGGAATCTGTTTCAGCATGGTTAAATATTTACGGTAAGAATGTTACATTTTACACAACCTTTGTCCGTAACTTCTCTAGGTTCAATACCTGACAAGGATGTCAATATCTTTAATGTGAGGAAGCAATCGAGCTACATTTATTTAAAGCTGGTGTTTCTACCTTTGTGCCAACGAGTGCAAGAAACAAAGTTCAAAAGGCCACCAAGGATTTGCCTCCCATCATTCAAGCTGAAATAAATTGGTACATGACCTTCAATATCCAGTGAACATAAATCTACCTCTTTACCCCTTTCTCTCACAAAAACAAAAAAATATTGATAATCATGCAAATGATTTATAATTTCAAGACACAGGATAAAAAATGCATAGGTAGTATACTTGTATTTATGTCAAGCTTTCTGAAGATGAAAATGAAATGATAAATTAATCTTCTTTGAAACTTTGACTTTCCTATTCCAATAAATTAAATTTCTCAAGCAAAGTGTAATATTAATCATTAACTTGCTGTTACCAATGGTGATTGGCCTTTGCCATTGGGACCAGGCCAGTCTGCACATCTGTGCAATTTGGCCAGGCTCTATGGTGTTGGTAGCTATTTTTTTGGGATGTTCATGGCCAAGTGGTTAAGGTCCTTGACTCAAGTCCCTTACTACAGTAACTGTGGGATCAATTCCCACCAAGGATTCTTTCATGTGAGAAAGCTATCCATCTAGGTTACGGAATGTCAGTCGTTCTACTCAGGTGCCCATTTGTGCCTGAAATAATGCACCTTAGAAGCACCTGAGGTCTTCTTCCACTGGAAAAGCTAGGAATTGCCAAATGACCTTTTCTGTATTGGTGCGACATAGCCCAACCAAAAAAAATAACCCAACCAAAAAAAAAAAAGGCAGAGAGCTTTTCTTTGTATTTTTGTGTTTTGATTTTTGATCACAATGTTCTAGGGGTAATATTAGTAAATTTTATCATATATGTACATCAAATTTTTAATTTACAGATATACCAGAGTTTAGTGTAGTACCGAGTGACACAGTTGTGAGACAGTCAGCAACTTTGAGTTTACTGTGTCGAGGTGAGGCTTTAGAAATGCCATCTGTGATGTGGTATAAAGGTAGAGAAGGGGAGCTAAGTCAGCTGAGGAACGATGAAAGAGTTACTGTTACTGATAGTGGGCTATTACAGATAAAGGTTTGTAAGAAATTAAAAATATATAAAAAAAATTTAATTCATGGATTCTTTTAACTATTTGTTCTAGTGTCATGCAAATACAATGGCCCTTAAGAAAACCAATTTAAGAAATACAGCAGGAATATGTTTTAAAGAATTTCATTATAGAAAAATCACTACAAAACATGTTTGGTTACTGTAAGTATTTCAAACAAGACTTTTAGTCTGGATCCAATGTGAAGACAACATAGGTCAAGTTTTCTTGCAATCAATTTTGTATGGACAAAGTTATGCACTTTTATATGTAAACAAGTAATTTCAGTTATCTTCTATTGCTAATATGCTATTACCTCAAAAATAGTATTCTGTCTTTCACAATTGGCAAAAAAATCATAGTTTGTGCTATTTACAACAATAAATTTGCTGTCTATTCTGAAGGCTTATTTTTTGCTCATGATATCTTTTAAATTTTCCATCGAGCGTATGTTACCCCGCTTCAGCTTAGTGCTTGTTTATACATGTATAAGCTTTAGATCTTCTGTTGGAAAAATATTAAAGGAAATGTCAGTGTTGAGATTTCATAACTCAGGCTATAGGTTTTGCATACAACCTCATTGTTCATTGACCACTGTAGATGTTATCCTGAAATTCTGTACATCACTTTATTGTCCTCAGAGTCACTTACCAAAACCCATAACTCATGCATGGAATGTTTTATTGAATTATTCTACATTTTGAATTTTAAAAAAAACCTGTTGTCTTGTTCTAGTTTGACTATCTGTGATTTAGAATAGCATACTTGTGATTATTTCAGTCCGTAGATGAGAGTACAGATGAAGGTTGGTATACATGTCTGGTGAAAAATACAGCCGGGGCCATTTCACGAGAAGTGTTTGTTGACGTACAAGGTAATTTACCTTGTTATTATTATAGCAGTAGACAATGATTGTAGTTATTGAATATTTGTCATATATTTCATCACTTTCTTTGTGTCTAATAACCTTTTTTGCACACAGTATTTAAAAAAATGAATCAAAATTCAATAAATTTAAATTTCATCATAAACATTGTTACATCATGATAATTATGATGCTGTCATACAGTAGAGCACATGACCGTACCGCAAAACAAAACTGTTTATTTTTTCTCTCTTTTTATTCACAAACAAGGATAGTGTATGTTTATCTGTTACAATAAACTAACATAAAGGAAATATACATCTAAGATTATCATCTAGCTACACTGAGACTTAATCTGAGACAGCCAAACCCCTGTCTCAATATATAAGATCCTTGGTGTAACTCTCCAGGAACGATGGTTAGGAAACTACCCACCTATATGACTGAAATACTGTTGGGAAAAGGCGTAAAATGAAATAAATAAACAAACAAACAATATATCTGAGAAAAAACTCATATCTTAAGTTGGGATTTGTCTCAGGGAATTTTAGTGAAAGCCAAGAGGAGAACAATGTCAATCTAAGGTTCTAAGATGAGAAATATCTCAGTCTGGAGCTGAGATTTTGCCTTTGAGAGAGTTAGCGAGAGACAGGCCTTGCTTTTTCTTCAAACCATTAGAAACATTAAAAATTATCTGTATTTTATCTATATGCTTCCTTTCTTGATTATTTCAGTACCTCCAAAAATTTTGTCAACTAACAGTCCACAATCGGCAACTTTACAGTCACAAGTAACTCTAACCTGTCAGTCAATTGGTGACCCAGCCCCATCTTTACAATGGATCAGCCCATCTGGTACTGTGATTAACACTGGCCCCGCCTACAAAATGCTAGGCAATATACTGATGATAACTTCAATGAGTGGAGAAGATGTTGGCAGCTGGACTTGTAAATACTGCAATACCCTGGGATGTGACTCTGCTTTAATAGAGATAATTGTTGAAGGTAAAACCTTGACCACTTTACAAAACATTAATGGAATGACCTTAGCCCCTTAAAAATATTTGAAGGTATGACCTAACTCTTTACAAAAATGTGATGGCATAACCTTGGCCCATTTACAAATAATTTGAAGGTATTACCTTGACCTTTACAAAAAATCTATTATATACCCTTTACAAAACAGTTTAAGGTATGTAACTAATTTAGATTCAGTCTTTTCTATCAGTATGCATAATAATTGTTTACTGCACAGCCCCTTGTCTGTCCCCTTTTTATATAAAGACAGAAAAAAGAAGAAATGAACAGTTTGAACAATATATTTGTCATTAGGTTACTAAACTTTTATGTCTTTATAATTATATTCCTGATATATGTTATGAATGGAATTTTTATAAGATAACAGAAATTTATTTTGTTTTAAACAAGTCTTATCTTATTTAAAAAAATGCTGTTTTTATATATGTATTGTATTACTCTTAAAAAATTAATTAAACAAGATATGTCAGACAGAATGTTTTCCTTATATCAAAGTTATTACATACATGTATATATATTTCTAGGTATGCCAAGAATAAAGTCATTTACTGGTTCCCAGGATGGTTCATTAATCACCCTGGAATGCACTGTAGAGGGAAACCCAGAACCAGATGTGACCTTCAGTAACCAAGGTCAAACTGTGACCTCCGCACTTCAAGGTCATACAGTGAAACATAATAGAATGCTGATAGAAATAGAGTTTCTGAAAACAGAGTATAAATGTGTAGCAGGAAATGTTCATGGACAGTTATTTAGAATAATACAAGGTACAAAATATATAAATTAAAGTTACTGACAAATGTTAAAATGGCACATGAGAATGAATTATTGTATGACACTACCTTTAAATTACAAACTAGCTTATGTTATAGGCTCTCATGACCAACTGGTTCAATTTGCTGACATTTCAAATCACTCTGTCTCCTTGTCACTGCTATGGATTCAAACCCCACCAGGGATTTTTGATTTTTGCATGTAAGGAAACTATTCATCTGTAACATTATGGTAGGTTAGTGGTTCTATTCTGGGTCTTCTTGTACATGATATGATGAACTGAGTTTACCGCCCACCAGTAAAGCTGGGGAGTTTTCATTAGACTACAATGTATGAATGTTACAAAAAGAACAACAAAAATGAAAAATAAAATAAACAGATTGCCTTATGATTGATTTTGTTTATGACTCTATTATCGCACATGTAGCATGTTTACTTGTAATGTATGAAATGTTTACTTGATGTATGTTTGTCTGTTTGTTTTGGGTTTTTACATCACATCAACACAGTACAGGTCATATTGCGACGTTCCAGCTTTACTGGTGTAGGAAGACCTCGGGTGCCATTCCGAGCATTATTTCAGGCACACTTGATGTATGAAATACACAATACATGTACAGTAAACTCCGCTTATAACGATATTCAGGGGACATACAAAACTATATCGATATATCCAAATATCGTTACAACCGAATTTCTGTACGGTGTGTAGCTTACTGACGATGCACTGCATCGTTCAACATGTGTTACATCTTCCCATGCCGCATAAAACCATTGTATGGCTTTTAGAATGTTAATCTATTTATCGATATGTTTGTCTAGACATGAAATAATATGGTCAAGGACACGTGACCTGTAATGCCTTTTGAATGAAAAGATAATCCCTTGCTCACAGGGCTGTAACTTAGATGTAGTGTTAGGTGGGAAAAACAACAGTTTTACAGCTTTTAATCCCTCGATTTTCGGATGGGCCGGGCAATTATCAACAAACAATAGAATAGATCTTTTCTCACGTGTCATACGTTTGTCAAGTTTTTTCACCCAACTGATAAATTAGCAAATTATCGTTTTAAGAGGTAATATATGTGCGTTGGGGTTGAAAATCCACATCGATATATCCGAAATATCGATACATGCGATATCGATATATGCGAGGATGCTTCCGTTAGGTTATAATGGAAGTTGGCAGGGACCAAGACAAACGTATCGATATAACCGATATATCATTATAAGCGATATCGATACAGTTGGAGTTTACTGTATATGGCCAAATAACAATTTGTTATGGTTACTTCTTCAGTGATGTGGTTGTGTGTGACTGTTAAGGATTTGTGTTTTTTCAGTGCCTTCAAAAATGAACGTCCCTGTTATATCACAAACCAGTTCAGGACCAGTAACTCTGTCATGGAAAGTTCCAGATAATCTTGGTAATCTCCCTTTAACTAGTTACTCAATACAGAAGAAATCTGAGAATGATGTCACCTGGCAACCTGTTCAAGTTGAAGGTCATGACCTGTTGAGTCAAAGATCACTGGAGGTCACAGGGTTAGAGGCTAACAGAGGTTATACGTTCAGGGTAGCAGCCAGTAATTTACTAGGACTAGGGGAATATAGTGACCAGTCTTCTAGTGTGGTGATAAAGTCTACAGGTAAACTATTTATCATCATTTATAGTTTGACTATAAGAAGTATGGTAGAGCTAACCTTAGATATAGAGCACAGTCTTCACTGGGATAAAGTTTGCAGGCAAATAAATATCTCATTAAGCATTGAAGATATTAACATGAAACTTCACACATTGCTTGCTGACCATAAGTATAGGTTACTGTTCAATACCTATAACTCCGGCATTGGCATGAATTATCACTGAATTACATCCCTTTGTGGATTCAGACAATTCCAGGTTAAATTCCACAAACAATTATAGAAGATGTTCACATGAAAGTTTATAAATACCAAGTATTGATAACAATTAACAAAATAAAGATGTTTTAGTAGGGAAATGAGGTTACTGCATTAAAGACGTTTTCATAGTTTTCAAATAGACATATAGGCAAAATAAAAACTTATTCAATACAATTTTTTTAAACTTGGCATGTTATTAGAATATGATAACAGAAAGAAACATTTTAAACAGAAAAATATTTGTGGTCACCATTCTCATTTTCGAGTTACCTGCCCTTGAATTGGCATTTTCATTAAATTCAAGGGCAGATAATTTACAATGAAGCTAAACAATATTTTTTTTTTATTTTCATGAAGCATACCTTAGTCAATGTGCAAAATTTCAAGAGCAAATTTTGAGTGGAAAGTTTTTTTCCCCATTTCTTCTCTTAACCTGTGCATTTTTTCTTAAAAAGTGGCCTATTATTTATGAATTTAAAGTACCTTTATTTTCATTGAAAGAAAATAACAGAAACGAAATAAGGAATTGCATGTAATTATATATTATATTCAACAACATTATCCAGAATTAAAAACAAGAATTCATTTACGTATGTTTAAGTTATCTGCCCTTTTAATGACCTCAAATGAGTAGAAAATGCTTATTCAGGGGCAGATAACTCAAAAACAAGAAAGGTGACCCCAATGTTTTTTGATTAAAATGTTTCTGCTATCATATTCTAACAACATGCCAAGTTTAAAGAAATTCTATTGAACAGTTTTAATTTTGCCTATATGTCTATATGTAAACTCCCAAAAACATCCTCAAGAAGAAAAGCAGCTTTTAAAATAAGGGAGATAAACATTTTGACAATTTTTTTTAGGATTAAAGGGAAATAGTGATATAATTACCTTGTTAGGTCATTAAATTTAGAATTCAGGATCACTAGTTAAAACAATGATGATTTGTTCAGTGCTGAAGAATGATTCTGGGGAGAAAAATGCGTACAACAAAACAAAAACTGGTATGTTTCATGATATCATATTTATTGCAGCACCATCAGCACCAGAAAATGTTCTGGTACTTGAAATTGGACCTGAAGAATTTGTGGCTGTTTGGAAGAGATCAAAGATTCTTAATGCTCCTATAGGTTTGTATAATAATTTATAACTGTCATTTTTATTTAAAAATGTGTGATATACAACCATATATATAATCAGTTTAATAAAAACAGACACTTTAGTTTTTCCCGTTTTGTCTTCTTCTTAAAAAAATAGACGATAATAACAAATGAGGCAACTAAAAAGATGGCGATGTTAACACAAAAATAACTTCAAAACAAATAATGTCTATTATACCATTTTAGTAGGCTGATTAAACATGTAATAAGCATCAATTATTTTTGTATGTTAAATAAGTAAGTTAGTAAATTCTTTATTATAGTGACATGTGTTACAAATACAATGTACATACATAAACAAAAATATACAAAGATGAACACCCCGCCTATTGAACCTATAAGTCACCTAAATAGAAAAATAAAATCTGATCATGTATGTTGCAGCTGATGTAGTGTATGAGTACAAGATATTCCGGCAGAAAACCGGTGACGGTGTTGTTACCGAGGTGATTCACAGAGTGGGAACAGTTCTTCATAACGAAACACTACAAATTAAAATTGATGGTAATTTACATGTTGAATATATAATCATAATATTTATTCCACACTTTAAAGGGTGTTGCTTCTGATGTTGTCTGTTGGTATTTCTGTAGACCAGATGTTGTCCAACTAAAAAATACTGAGGCCAATTGTCCCAAGATTTGATTTGGAGGTTTATTATGACTACTACTGTATAAGTGTGGCAAAAAATATTGGCAAATTTTCGTGAATTGGCGAAACTCAATAAATTTTTCTCTAGCATAAATATTAACCAACCTTTCATAAATTCTACCCTTGCATGATTCACTTATATTTTCTCACATGAAATGTCTAGTATTTTAAATTTGCTAACAGAAATATCCACTTATATGGTACCTCATCTAATATTTGAGTTATTTGGTCAAATTGTTACCTTGACCACAAAAAACTTGTCTGACAAATAGTTAGGAAAGCTCTAGCCTACAGTTGTGAGATTTGGTGTGGAAGTTGGCTTTGACTAGTCTAGTAAATGACTTTTAGTAATTTTTGGCTTGTCTGTTTTGAAGAAGAAATCGAGCTATGTCTGAGTCATCGTTGTTGTTGTTGTTGTCATCATGCAAAATCTTTAATGTAGCCCATAATTCAAATATAGTATAAGTTATTAACATGAAACATAAAATACTTGCTTATCATGACAAAGTGCAGTTGTTAGACAAGGGAAATGATTCTGAAAGCTATATTTTTTAGAGTTATGCCCCTTTTTCAACTTAGAATTTTTGTCAAAATAGGTTGCCTTTAACAGACAAGCATTAACACCACATGTGGGCTGTTGTTTATCAATCCAGTTAACTGTTTTCTGTACTAAATTAAACAGTTTAAATCCATGTGAATTAAGATCAACTTTATTTTATTTTTGTTTTAGATTTGACTGAAGCAGCAGTTTATAAACTGTCAATATGGGCGAGGAACATCCAACTCAATATCTCCAGTGATACTGTCACCGTCACCCTTGACAACACACAAGCTACATATCTAGGTAATTAATATAATGTGATATACAAAGGGAAATAACCATATTTAATGTTGAAAAAAAAAGTTATATCCCTGTATGACTCCATATATCCAGTCATAAAATCAATATTTGTGTAATGATGTAAGAAATAATTTAATTAATTGATAAAAATTGAATAAAAAGCTGTAAAAGTTTTCGTGATTATGCCCCTGTCTGAGTTTGAACTCTATGAGCTGCTTAGGAAGAGTACTTTTATAGCGCTTGATATACAAATGCATAGTTGATATAATTTGGTGAGTGATCTAAATCTTAGCAAGTAGAATCAATCCTTTCTTGAAAGGAAATTATCCGATGAGGTCATGAAAGAATTGTGCGTCTTGTAAGGTTGATGTATTTTGCATTTGTTCCTTCATTGATAAGACTTATAGGCTACGTTACCGTCCATATTTACACTTAAGAATCCTAATTCTTCGTTAAAACTGATTTTAAGAGCAATGGTGTCAATACTAAATAGCCTATGTAAGTATGATAGATACAGGACAGTTTGCATAGCTGTTTGATGTATTAAACAAATTGTCAGTTATTTGATTTTTAAAATTTTGCTAATGATAAACAGTTTCAAGTTAAATGCATGAGAAATTTAACAATTCAAGGGGGAAAAGCTTTTAAGAATTTAAACTTTTTCAAAATTAATTTAAAAGGTTTATTATTATATTTTATGCTGAAGTACATGTTGGCATTTTTCCTTAAAGACATGGTATTTGATTAATTTATACTTTTATTTTTAAAAACAAACTCATAAATAATAAAAGATTATTATATTCACAGATCCTGGAGCACATTCAGGGATTGATACATTTGGTAGAGATAAACTTATTGCGATTGTGGCAGGCTGTGTGGGTGGAATTATCCTAGTCATCATTATTGTTTGTATCGTCACTCGTGTACGAGCACAGAGGAAAACAAAAACTCTCTCGTTACTTAACCACACATTGTCTCTAGATCAGTTCTACATGGAGAATCCAAAGTAAGTTTTAACAAACTTAGAATTTATGCTTTATAATTTTGATGGCATGGGGGCTTAGGTGGCCAAGTGGTTAAGGTCGCTGACTTCTAATCACATGCCCATCATTGTGCTGGGTTCAAATCCCACCGTGACTTTGAACCCGTTTATTAGAGGAAACGAACCAGCTAGCATAATTATGGAAGATCTATGGTTCTACTCGGATGCCTGCTTGCTTCCGAAATAAGGCATAGAGGGGCATCTCCACTTGTTTAAGCTTGCAACAAGGTCGTAACTTTAAAACCAGATTAAATTTGCAGCAGCTTTTTTTAGATATTTGTTTGCTCTTAATTTATGCATAGTTGACTAACTCGCTTTCATTGTAGAATACTAACATATAATACACAATGCATGTAGTTGTTTAGCTATTTTTATCCTTTTAAATTCACATAACAATAGTACATGTATTATTTCCATATTGATTTATCATAAAAGTTTGGTAACAGATTACTTGCAGACATTCTTATATATAAATGAGCAGCGTCACGACAAATCCAAAATAGTGCGTTTGCGACCAGCATTGATCCAAACCAGCCTGCGCATCAGGATCCATGCTGTTCGCTTACCAACTCTATAACAAGTAGAGAAACCGATAGCAAACAGCATGGATCCTGATCAGACTGCGCGGATCCATGCTGGTCGCAAATGCACTATGTTGGTTTTGCCATGACACGGCTCAAATGGTATACCTGTATGTACACAATTTATTATAAAAATTGATTCGCCAATATTTCTCTTAATTTTTTTACAGTATGCATGATGAAATAACCCACTTCTAAAAGAAATATCTAGGTGTCATAAGTAATGAGCCAGTGTCTACCAGGTTATAAAACAAATTTTTAAAAGCCGGTATTGAAACAAAAGGTGCTTTATCATGAGTTATCAATAAATCAAAGATGTATAGCATAATAATAGATAATAACACCATGGTTTAGCATGGCATTTGTGATGTTTTAGGGCTAACGCAAGTTGTAACTAACCACGAACATGTAAGCAAAACTTGGAAATAACAGAACATGAAATATAGGCTGGCAAAATGCCAAAATAGATGTATGTGTATTTAAAATCGCGGAAGCAAATTTTTGCGGAAAGGTCCATTTTGGGGGTATATACAAATATTCGCGTTATTTTGAATTCGCGGAGGTGACTGCCGAAAAACATTAATTCGTATAAACCCATCAGGTTAATAAATAAGGGAAATTACTCTTACACGATTAGGCAATGGTTTTCGCAAGCAGCCCTCTTTCATTTTACATACTTTTTACTGTAATCATTGTGGGACTTCACAGTTATTTTCAACACCTGGTGTCAAACAATAAGCTATTGTACAGAACAAAGACATTCAATTTGTCAAGCAGACAGATTATGGCAAACAAAAGATTGTCAGTCAATGTGCATGTTTTAAACAGCACTGAATGAGTCCATAATCTTTTCACCGATTTTGTTAAAATGTTGACTGAATAATTATGTTTTTTGTTTACCATGTTTTCATCAGTTAAATTTGTTAATGTTTGTGTTGTTTGTATTGTTTGTTTAGAAAAACAAAATATAATCTGATCAGATGTCAAGACGTTTATGACTCAGACTATGAAATAAATAGCGTGTTGCAATGGTATTGTTCAAACATGTATATACTCATACAAGAATCTGATAATCATATCAGTCAAACAATAATACACTAGCAAACTGATTTATATACAGAGCTAAATGTTACATGTACAGTTTATACAACAGTAAAATCACTCTTTGAAAGCGCCACGGATACCAGACTTAAGGCAGCCGTGAACACACTGATATACATTGTTCTATAGATGCGCGAAAATACGACTATTAAGAAGTTATTGGTGTAGAAATATTCGCGCTGAACATGAATTCACGGATCGAATGTCACCGCAAAGACGGCGAAAATTTGAAGCCTGCGAATATTTCCACACATACAGTATGTGTTACTTGAACCTGCATTATTTCACATCACAGGGATGAAAGTATTAAAAAATGTTTTTTTGAAATAATGTTAAAGGTTTTATTATGTTAATAGATGCTGCGTAAAGGAATCTAAAAAATCATGATTGCAGGACTAATCTTGAAAATAATAATGACTAGTTTTTCAATCTGCAAGGTGTTAAGAATCATTACATTAAACCTACATTTAAGAAATCTTTTCTAGTAGCTTTGTTACTTTGTTATTATAGTTCAGAGTATTTGGTGATAAAACTTGTGACCCCTGAATTTGTATTCCAGCTAAATTAAACCCGTCCTTGAACTTTGTTTTGACTTTGTATTGGGCATGTAACTTTAACTATGGAGTTGAAAGAATTTCAGTATAATGTAACATTGAGAAGCAAACAGTCTGTATAGTGTGTGTAGTCAGACTGTAAGACTAAGGTTTCATGTCTTCTGTGTTGTCAAAAAAATTTCTCTCAAAATTTGATGATCAATTGGTCCTTTAGATCTACAAAAATTTGTAATAATTTCATTCCTACAGATAAAATGATATAAAATCTATATAAATATATATATTGTCCCTATAGCTGAAACTCTTTTGGCTTGTAGCATATTGCTAAAATTTGTGATACACATTTTAAGGCACCTTTACTGTTTTAAATGCATTATTAAGGGAAATTGGAGAGTGTGTTATTATTTTTGTTATTTAGTAGTAATTTAGCTAGCATTATATAATGAAAATTTTTAACAGCTGTGAAATTATTTAACACCTTGCCCTGAAACAAAACTGTTTAGCCTTTGTGACCAGTATAGAGCCAGTCCAGCATGTACACTCTGACCAGGCTCTATACTGTTGGCTGACTTATCTTAAAGTTTTTATCTTGATATACCCAAAAATATAATAGGCATTTCCAAAATCTGGACAAGTCCATTTAAGAAATTCAGCAGGGGTTAATGTATTGTTAACCAAATTGTCATTTTGTATTACATCAGCTATAAGACTAATTTTGTCGCTGGTTTTCATTTTGGCATTTCAGGAATCTTGTCTTATAAACATTTCAAAAAATTTACTTTTAAAACATTCTTACAAATCAAAAATGAAATAATTTCACAGTGTTATTTTTGAGCTTTGCTCATTTTATTTTAAAGCAACACACCTCCTAATACATGGAGTTTTTTAAGCTTTTTTTTTTACTTTATAATATAAAGAAGTAGTTTCTACAGTATCAAAAATAGACATACAAAGCCTTAACTCTAATTAACTTTAGTGAAAATAGAAGAAACATTGTGATGAAATAGTGATTTTGTATCTAACCTGCAAAGTATTGCAAGATTTTGTGTATATTTGTAATTCTTTTACATGTACTCTAAACAAATTATTATTTTTTAAAGAAGTTTTGAATTTTCTTCCGGAGGTGTGCTGCTTTACAGTTTTCAATACAGTTGAAGTGTTTACCTACTTGGTGAAAGTTATATCCTTTAACCAGTTTTTGAATTTTGATTTTTAGATGGTTTGTATTACAAATAAGCGAAAAGGTCAAGGTTATTGTTATAAGTAGCTTTTGCCTTCGCATGGAAATGGGATTTGTTAGTTATTAGCTGTAGAATACAGATTAGTAGCATGTATAAAAATTGCATTTTTTGTGATCTGAAAATGAATAACTTTTTTTATCACATAGACCATGGTGCAGGAGTGTAATAAACCCATTTAATAAAAACATATGAGCCGTGCCATGACAAAACCAACATAATGGGTTTGTGACCAGCATGGATCCAGACCAGCCTGCACATCCGCGCAGTCTGATCAGGATCCATGCTGTTCGTTTACCAACCCTACTACAAGTAATGAAACTTATAGTGAACAGCATGGATCCTGATCAGACTGCTCGGATGCGCAGGCTGGTCTGGATCCATGCTGGTCGCAAACCCATTATGTTGGTTTTGTCGTGACGCGGCTCATATAGTGTTAATGTGTACTAATGTTAGCATTACAAATACAACCGTTTCAACAAAAACTGACTCCTTTTAACTATTAACCATTCTTATTTTAGATACAGATATGTGATAAATAGAATATTATATTCATTTAGACTCAATACTAAATTTACTGAACTTGTTTAGATAATAATATGATTTATTCAACTTGTTCAATAAATCTACACTCATTTAATATCCTCTACTAGCAGGTTTTCCTTAAATATCAAGATATGTCAAAGTTCTCAAGCAGTGGCCGCTGAACAAGTTCATTATATAGACTGAATTTGAACTTTTTGAATACGATTTTTTGATAAATTCCAATTTTTTTAGACTTTGTAACATAGAATACAAGCATACTATATCCATATTAAATTCACTTTAGTTACATAATAGACCTACCACCAATGAGGAAAATTCTTCGTTATTAGAAATCTGTGTAGATTTTCTTACTATAGAATGCACATCATTGCTTATTTTATAATCTGTGGGTAGCCCCAAGCTTTAGGGGTTTGTTGAAGATTTTCTGGTTAAAATTTTACTAATAACAAATAACAAATAGAAATATGGAAACACTTGCCTCTAATCACTGTTGTCGTGTCATTTATAATTCAGCCATGTTCAGCTTAAATAAATTGTTTGAAATATTTCACACCTGTACTACGAGTTTGTAATTTCATGTTCTTGTTTTTTTTGTCTTATTGCAGAACATTGTACACTGATGACAAGTATAGTTCAAAAAGAAAGAGTGGTCATAGTTTCTACAGTTTTGACGAGAGTTTTCAAAGTACAATGGGATCTAAAGGAAAACGTGCAGGGAGTGTAGAATATCTTGGGTAATACAAAATTAAATTAATTTGTGCAGTTACACAAAGTAGTTATATCAAAATTTTTATGATATACATGTATATTTAAAGCATAAGGAATTGCATTTTTCTGTCACTATTATTTTCAACCACTAAATTTATTATGCTAAATATATAACTGCTCTACACTGATGGCTGGTGTAGATTTATAATCCCTCACTTATAATGACAGTGTAGAGTTCCAAAGTGAAGGATGAGAGTATGTTACTTATTGAGTATGGTAAGGGTTTAACTAGTATCTGGTTAATATTGTTGACTTCAAACCAATTGCCCCTTACGACTGTGGGTTCAAAGACGGACAGGAGCGTTGAACTCTTTCTTGTAAGGAAGCTATCCAACTAGCAATACAGAAAGTCAGTGATTTTACTATTACAGTGCTTGTTCGTGAAATAATGCAAGGAAGAGCACCTAAGGTCTCCCTCTGCCAGTAAAGCTGGAAAGTTACCATATGACATATACTGTTTTGGTGCGATGTAAAACACAACCCAACCCCATCCCTCCATCCAGCTCCTAAAATAAAGAAGTTTCTGGTATAGCATTTAAACTGTTGAACTGTTTATATTTCAGGTCAGACTTGTGTAGTGATGTACTTCTTGTGTCAAAAAGCCCTTTGTATCCTGAACATGAAAGACAGGCAAGTGGTCGTATAGTGTATATACCTATTTCTGGTGAAATATTTTATAAAAAAAATTAAAACAGTAAAATAATGTTGTTTTAATAACAATATGGTTGTTTATTGAAATAGTTGTGAATGGAGTATTTGTGTAATTCAATTAAACATGGAGTATTGTACATAAACAGAATAAAATATTGTCTGGAAAAAAATATTCTACCGCTATTTATTAACAATCCCTGTCTTGTTTACTACCAAACAAAATTGTCAAAATGTTCACAGACATGTATACATACACCGTAATGTAGATAATTGTTTAGTTCACTACAGTCCATATAATGATCGCCATTCTGGGAGCCTCCATAACTGAGACCATGTGACTTGTCAAATGAGCCGCGTCAATATAGTGCATTTGCGACCAGCATGGATCCAGACCAGCCTGCGCATCCGTGCAGTCTGATCAGGATCCATGCTGTTCGCTTTCAGTTTCTCTATTTGTAATAGGGTTTGTAGGCGAACAGCATGGATCCTGATCAGACTGCCCGGATGCGCAGGCTGGTCTGCATCCATGCTGGTCGCAAACGCACTATGTTGGTTTTATCATGACGCGGCTCAAATTGTTATTTTATTGTACATTCATTTACATATTTCTGAAAATATGTACTCAAAATTTTGTCTTTGCTATCTTGGGAGATTAATTTATATTTCTATGTATTTGCAGATTCCTTTATCACACACCTCAAGTCGAGACCAACTTTATAATGGTAAGTCTGTCTTAACACTTTTTTCAAACATAGAAAAATCTTGATGATTCATAGAAATGTTGGATTATTCCCGCCATGGAAACTTAAAGGTTTCATTTATTTCGGATTTTCTTGAGGTAAAATTTGAAATTTATTTTGAAAAGAAGACACAATGACATGACTAAGGCCCATACCTTATCTATAAATACTCCGATGAACCTTCATTGAACTGAAATATAGTAGTGGTAGTGTATTTTAAGAAGAAAGACCACACCTTAATTTTTTTTTTAAGTTAACAAAGGAGAATAATTCAATCAAAATCACAACAAGAGTTAACGGTCTTTAACAATGACTTACAATTATGAACTTAAAGAAATAAGTTTCAAGTGAATATACTCAATAATGAATAAAAGTACATGTAAAATTTCCAAGTATTGTGCCATAGTCAATGCCATGTTGACAGAATAAGTCCACTGTCCTTTGCAAGGTTTCAGCAGAAAAACATCATTATTTTCTGGAGACTTACTTCTACTTATTGTCATTATGTTATATGATGTACTGTATATATATGCTGTTAAAAATGTTTAATGTATAAAATTGTTATGTATGTTCTAAGGCCCACATGGAAGTTTGAGAAATCGAATGTGTTTGCCTCATTAAATAAAGTCGTAACTTACTTACTTACTAGACAATGTTCATATTCTTATCTCATTGTTAAGGTTGTTTGTTTTTCTCAATTGAATCACATGATTAAATTTATCTAAGCACACTGATTTCTTACAGAAAATACAGAAGACACTGTGTGTGTTCAAAGTGAGATTCAACTGCCTGACTGTGATATAAGTCTGGTAAAAGCCGTGTCCAGGCTTGATGATGGTAACAGTCACAGTGGAAGTGAGGCTGAAACAAGTCCCACCACTGTCAACAGACAGACTGTTTCCAAGGAGATTGAAGCAGATACAAATAGTTTATACAGGTAATTTCATATACTTACTATATGTTAGCAACTTGTCAATGCCATGCACATACAGTCAGACCAACCTCTTTACTGTTGACAGTTTTCATTAATTATTAAATTTTATTACTGAACTCATTATAAACAAGGAAGTTCTAAATTCAAAACAGGACCAGACATGAGTTTGAGCTTGGAAACTGTCTTTAAAAAATTTTGTTTGGCTTTTCCTAACAGGTGTTTCTCTAGTGAGGTTATTTTTTTTTTTTAATTGGGAAGAATTGATACTCTAGTGGTATATAATTATGTTATTGCTCTACAGAGGGTCACATTGCAGTTTACACTGTATAATTAAAATTCCAACATAGACAGAAGGGAGTTAATAATGACAAACTTTACCATTATTATATGTAAGAGTTGTTTCCCTTTTCAAAAAGTTAAGTTGTTTCATGTGTGAAGTAGGAAAGTAGGAAAGAAAGAAAAAGGATTTAATTGTGACATTTTTTGCCAAAACTTGTTAGATAAATACAACCTTTTGATATTGCAACTCATCACACTTTGCCACTTTGGTAATTAATGATACAGAATTCTATAAAAGTCATAGTTTAATATAGAATTCAAGATTTTATATCTTTGAATTAAGATGTTAAACTTTTTATTTTCAGTGCCATGAATGGAACTAACTCAGATAAAGGTCCTGATCAATCATCAGAGCATATCTACACAAGTATACACAGTGGTGATCTCCATGCCTCAACTTCAAAACAACATATAAAAAGGGCAGATAAATCTGGCTCTCAAAAACGTCCTCTCATAGTTCTCTCCCCTGAGAAAAATGATGACTCAACGAAATCTGAATCAACAGTAGCAGTGAAAGATACCAATATTGATAAATTTTGTGATAAATTAGCAAACTCAAAAATTACTAAAAAAGAACGGGAAACAAGGTCAGCTTCCCCAGAAGTCCAATCAAAGGGGAATGACTCTTACCAACCAAAACCACCAATTAGAGTTCTTTCCCTTGATCTTCTTAAGCCATCTGCAAAGATGGACAATCAAAAGGGAAATAACTTGAAAATATTGTCAGAAAATATGCTTAAAGAAAATAATACTATAAACAAAAATATTGGTAAGAATAGTGTTGTGAATAGAAAAGATACCACAGATAGGGTTAAACCTGATGATCAGAACGATACATTGAGTAACGTCCTAAATGGACGTGTGTGTAACAGTCATAAAAATGGACATACATGTGAATCTGATGTGAAAACTAAAGCTCAAATTGAGCTCGATCACGTTAGTAAAATACAGAAAGGAACAAATGGAGATAAGTGTCATTTAGATACATTAAAGGGAGATAATCAGTGCAGAGACAACTTTATCGTGAAACCAAAACCAAAGAATGTATTAGATGACAATTTTCTGACTGACGCCGAGATAAAACAAGAAATTTCATCTGCAGAACTATATTAGTTAAATATATACTATTAAGTATACTTAATATTTACTTTCCTGAATTTGTATAGCGGACATTCCCGGCTTAAAATTTGGTACAGTTCTTTATTAGGTTTAGGAATTTTATCATGAAAAATTATAAAATATAGTGAGCTAACATTTTACAGCCTAGATAAAATGCATGAATGTTAGATAATAATTCACATGTGTAGAAGGCTGTTCATATTACACAAAGCAAACCCTATATGAAAGACAACTTCATTTAAAGCAGCATGCCTGCAGTTTCATGTTTATTTTCATTTAAATTTATTTGCTAGTAATAGTAAAATCTTGTGAAGTGAAAAATGAAAGTAATTCACACATTGCAAACAGTATTTACAATCCTCTGAAATGAGGTCAAAATATGGAAAAATAGCTGTTACTAAATATGGTGATAAATACTACTAAATCAGTCAATGATCTAATCATTACTATTAATTATCTTCAATCTTTTTTTAAAATCTTAGATCACTTTTACCTAGTTTTGAAAAGCGGGGCGAGGCTTAGGCGTAACTATATATGTACGTCCGCAAAAAATTCTACTGACCAAGTTTATGTGTGAAAAATTTAATGAAAATAAATTCATATGACATCCCTCATCAAAGAGCAAGGTTATCATGATAAAACACATCAATATTAAAGTCGGAAAGTGTCATAATATAAGTGTTTATGGGGAATTCAGTCCATACTTCAATGGTTGACAAAAATTGTTAGTTTGCAAAGATTTTTCTACGTATTCAGTTATTTTGGCCAAATATTCAATATAATATATCAAAATGAGATTCATCATCAAGAAGCATCATTATCATAACAAAAAACATGAATGTTTTTCAAGGCAGTCTCATAATATCCGATTTTACGAAGAATTTTCCGATATTTTAAAGTGTGCTATTTCTAGTAACAGATCAATATTGAAAAGGACGGACCTAGGTAGAGAAGGACCCATTGCAGTGTGAAAGTTTATATCAATCTATTTTGATTCCGTGGACAATTTAATAGATTAGCTCTCATATTTTTTATTTCTTTTGACATTTCATTTTTGTTAGAATAGGAGTGAATCGCATATGTGTAGGAATACGTTTTTAGAAGTGCTGCATGTTGAATGTGAGATAGGCCCATGTGCATGAGATAAGATTTTCCAACACCGCTATTTTTAGTAACATTTACCAATTTTTCTTTCTGGTTAGTGAGAAAATAAATTATTCAGTCCTCTGAGATTACAAGTTGTATTCATTCTCAAAATTGTTTATATAAATTATTGACCAATACAATCTTAAAGTATATTCATTCTTGTTTCTTTGTTCTGAAATTTTTTATTTCAATTGTGCATAAAGTGGTGACTCATACAATGTCAACACTTCTTGTCTGAAAGCTGATTAATTTGACTACCAAAGTTGATACAATGTACTGTTTTAGGGAACCATTTGGTTGGAATTTCATTTTTCCTATACATAGGAAGTGTTCAATACAATTTGTCAGGTACAATATGGGTTCTAATTAAAACCACCAAATTTCTGTAAGCTCACTGGACCGCTTTTCATACACAGCAATTAAAATAGGGGACCCACAAAACATCAGTATCAGGATGTGACATTCAAACCTAAAGCAAATGTTTAGGAAGTTGATGCTAGCTAAAAATGTTCTTTCCAGTACCCACATTTCAAACACTATCCCATTATTCCTGTATGGCTATTATAAAACGAAGGTTGTTTTTGTTTACAGGATATCTATATATCAACCTCCAATATTTCCAGGGGTTAACAGGATAGTTGCTTACAGGGTAGTTTGTTTTGTTTTAACGACTCATGTCAGTCTACGTTTTCCTTACATGCTGCAGGGATTGTTCTCTGAATCAGTATATGGTAAGATTGTTCATTGAGGTGCTGTAAGTATTGTAACGTTGTGGTATTGTTGGTGATTCTATGGCATATTAGTTCGTTATTTTTGTTGAGAGTTTTATTTTATCTTATTGGTTAATATTATTTTATTGCATCTTTTCTTTTTTATTTGGTGTTTCTTTTTTATATTGTTTTCTTTTTTATTTTATATTTTCTTTTTCTAATATCTTTTGTTATTATATATTTTAATATTTCTTATTCTCAAATTATTTCTTTCTCATATAACAGTTATATATTACGTTGGTATATTGCTTTTATTAATATAAAACTGACTTTGTATTTTATATTATCTTTGGTCTTGTCTTTATCTTTTTTTTTCTTCTTTTTAAATTAAAAGTTTGCCTTCTATAAATTTGTTATAAAGATTTCTGAAAGGTGAACTGATATGGCCTTATATACTCATTTATATGGCCTTATATATACTCATTTTACTTACATTTATTGTACTATAACTAAAGTGATTGCTTGCAGATCAAGCTTCTTTCCAAACAATTATTTTTATACGGCCATATAATCTGTCAGTTTAAAAGATCTTTTAACTAATAATATACTAGTTTACTGTTAAATGATAAATATCCCCTTTAACAAATGCATAGGTTGATATTCATATGTATTAACCTCAAACGATGCCATGGGTTAGCTTTGTCTTCATTTGTTTATGGGTCAATTCAGGCTGTGTACCAAAGTTGTAAATGGGTCAGACAAGTATTCTAAGGATTGCTGGCTGTGAGGGTTTGAACCTGTCGTGGTCAAGCTGTTGTTTCCATGAGCCAGAAACTTGCGCTACACTCATTCCTTAATACTGGTTGATTCAAAGACTGATTTGAGTGTGTTTCAGTAAGCTTATAGCCTTTAACACAATCAAACTAAAATAAAAAGTATAAACTAATTTAAGCAACTGCCAACAAAGTAAATTGTAATGTCTATATAAACCCATAGCTGAGCCAGCTCTTTCACCAGTATTTTTAGACTACTTGTACTCGGTGCACTCTTTCAGTTTCTCCAACCGTAATTATTAATATATAAATAAAAAGTTCTATGATACCTAGAGGATTGGTTATCACTGTATTTTTATCAAAGTACATGATCATAAAGTTGTCAATATGTGTACAAACTAAGGTTATCAAGTAAATTTTAGCGTCGTTATATTTTTCTGATCCTTTGGGATCATTGATGCCAGCACTATGAAGTGTTGAGAATTGACAGCCGGTGCTAGGGGGCATGTTGCACTTAATCATTATCCACTCATGTACAGACTCAAACCGAGTCTGCAATTTTCATTTAATTTTGTTGTGATTAATGCTTTTGAGGGATCACTTTATTTCAAGATTTTCACACAAAGTTTGCATATCCTAGCCAGCAAAAACTTTAACCCAACTTCACACAAGCAGCCTTTATTATGATGCTTTATCAATCAGACTTGAGTTAAAATTTACCTAATTGGCCTTAATTAGGAGCCGATTTTACTCAGATACACAAGCAGGATAAATGAACCAGTCAAATTTTGGTGTTACAAGAGATTTTTAACATAATTAAGTAAATTAACAGTCTCACCAGTCATCGAATTTAGCACTGGCCTGGTGACCCGTGAAAATTAGTTTGGGCCAGTGTTAATTTTAGTTAAATATGTAGAATAAATTTAAAACTGGAATTCAGGCCAGTAAAAATTTAAACTCTTAAATTCAATGAATGTCTAATTTGAAAGTCAACAGATCAACCCTTTCCATATTAAGAAATTAAAGTGTAAAATACACATGGTTAATGCCTCTTCCAGCACAAACAAGCAAACTAATATAAATTACAAATTTCTCTGACAAATGGAGCTAAAAAAAACACAAGACTTTGCTAGGCTTCCTACTGTTTTATTCTATTCTTCACAAATATTTCTCAACAATAGTCACAAAAATAGGGCAGGTACTAAGATGTTACCATAAATACACCAGTAATCTCTTCCTTTGTCTTAAAAGGGAAGGTAACTGAATTTCACGTTTGAATTGAGAGGAATTCCAGTACACATGATATCTACTCAACAGAAACAACATTCATTCTTGTAAAAAAATATGGATGATGTTTCAAAATAAACAGAGGTAATGATAGTGATGTTGGATGATTTAATGATGATAATGATCAATGTGATAATGATAATGATGACCAGATGATCACGATGATGAATGGACGAGTGATAAAATGATGAATGAAAGTTATTATCTTAGTAGGAAATTGTATAACATATTCTCAGCAATATATTTTAAGACACTGTCATTGATTTTTAGTTGTGTTCGACGCATAATGTTATACAGAAAGAGGGCAATAAGTACAACTATCCCTTAAAATAACAATAAACTTTCCAATTTCAAAACTGGTCCCCAGATTCTATGTTAAGTCTGTGTGCACTGTGTTATCTTGGATCATACAATAATTAAGAATGCATCGTGTATGTAATGATGAAATGAGATGATATGATCATGTTCTTTATCCTTCTTCTTCACCATCCTCGTCATCATCACCTTCACCTTCTTCTTCTCCTTCCTACAAAATATGAACGTTTAAATAAATTTACATTCAAAAATACTCATAAAAGGCCCATTATGTCTCAGATATGCTATTATTTTTAAATCTCAAAACCATTTTATTTTTAGTATCTTGTTACAGCTGTATAGTGATTTTGTATGCAGGGCCAAAAAACCCTTCTTTGTAGAAGCCGAATATAGGCTGCTTCCCCAACCAAACAAGCCTCTTTTATTAAACAGTTTGGTCCTCAAAATTCCCCAGTCTTTTGAAATTTCCCATAGAATTTACAACAAAATTAAATGATGGTGTTGAATTCAGGACTTTTACTGCCTTATTAGTATTTCCCAGTGCTTTTTGCTTTTCTATTTTGAGAAACTTGTTAAAAGATTGTGTTAAATTTAAGACCCCTTTTCCAAAAGTATGCCAAAATCATGCATATTTTCCCCAACAAAAAGGCTGAGGCCCCTTCCCCAAAAATGGTGTTTTTGCCCTGGTATGGAAGTCAAAATACTACTTTGTTTCCATTTCGCTACCTTTATAACACATAACTGCAATTTCAGTGCTATTTTCTTCTGTTGTTAAACATCTACAATGATCTTTCCATTATTCAAACATTTTAACAATATGTTTGAAATTTCTGAAGAATTAAATTAAATATGCATTTCTGAATCATAATGTGCCTGTAAGAAAATTTTGGGCAATAAAAAGAAATTCTACTGGGGCTATGTCGATATTTAAATCAAATTTTTTTTTCATTTGGCTTCATTAATGCTGTACATTAAAATCTTTCATAGGAAATACGATATTCTGACTATGCCATTTTTTGGACTCTTAATTTTTTTCTAGAAACTAATTTTTCAGATCATTAACTGGAAATGCAAGAGTTCAAATACGAGCATGTAAATTATTCTATGCTTTTTTCTTTCTGGACTACTAATTTGTGGAATACCACTTACTCTTATCACATAAATGGCGGCGCATGAGTGTAATAAAGCCATTTACTAAAAACAATAATACACTAGTGTATTATCACTTTCAAGTGACGTCATTTGCGCTATATATAAACATAGCTTTAAAGCACGCTAATGTTAGCGTTACACTAAAGACGCATCTATGAATAATGACCCTTTTAAACAGTTAACCGTTCCTTTTTTATATATGTGATTAAAAGAATATTATATTCGTGTAGGTTCAATACTAAATTTATTGAACTCGTTGAATAAAACAATTTTATGCTCGCCAGAGGCTCGCATAATATGATTTTTTCAACTCATTCAATAAATTTATTATTAAACCTACACTCATTCAATATCCTCTATTTACTTTTAAAAACTTTTATGTCATAGATTAACATGACAATTATCTTTCACGATAAAACATTGATATATATCCGCAGCATTGCCAAATAATAATATTGGTCAGTATATCTAACAATTTAACAATTTCTTTTTTAAATCAATGCTTAATATGCTTGAAAATGTCAAAATTCTTGTTTTATTGTTTTGCTTAAGTTTTTAATTCTTTTCATAAAGAAAACAATCTGATTATTCAGAAAATTCTTTGTTCACTGGTTCAGAAAATTCTGAAACTTTACTGTCTGAACAAGTTTTTTCTTCTTTTTTTTTTCCCCAACAGGATGGTCATAGCCTTGTTTGACTAACATTTACCTTCAACTTCACTCAACTTGATCATGTAAGTTTTTAAGAAATAGCAGGACAAATATGGTATTTTCCTACACAAGACTTGTTTATATAATTTCCTCTCATTTTCAGATATATTTTTGAACATATTCAGCCATGCCAAGTTTAGTAATTCTCCACTCCTAATACTTATATCTTTCATAAGAAGCCATTCTGTGAGAAACAAAACTTTATTTTAGGCAGCAATTTATCATTCTTTAACATTGTGTTAATCAATTCTCCAATCCTTATACAAAATATTTTTCCATAAGAAGCCTTACTGTGACAAACATTCCAAGATGCTGCTAGAAATTGCACTCATCCCTGTCCCCTAATCCCAACCAACTGTTTCTATATTATAGTATTTCTATCTGGTCATTAACAAGCACTCCTTTTATCCCATCCCAAATGAAGTTCACTTTCCTAGTCATTAGAATTCAATTTTTGTAACAGAAATTAATCGTTTGATTTCATGTTATGGTTTGCCAAAAAGGTAAATGGGCTCCAATTTTCAGATCCAAGAACAACCTTGATCTATCCCACATTTTCTGTTCTCCCTTCAAGTGACTTATAACTTTCCTATAATATGTGAACAAAATTCTTTACAAGAATGAACTTTCTCTCTTCAGAGATCAAAAATTCCACTCGTCCACTCGTAATTATGAGTAGAATTTAAGAGATCTCGATGCAAGACGAGAAGAAAAATATTGCCTGCGAATTGGATTTAGATGCTACTTGTCCTGCAGGACCAGTGTCTTTAAAAATATTTTCTGATGCTGCTCTTACCTCATCCTCCCCTTCAAAATCCTCGCCCTCATCTTCTTCATCTAAATCATCAAGTTCATCATCACCACCTGGTCCAACACCACCTTCTTCATCTATCTCAGAGGCCTAAAACAAGAAACAATGTCTTAGTACATGTATTCAGTGTTCGAAATTAGCAGTAGTCCTATAGCCCCTGACTACTAAATTTCTTCTCGGGCTACCAATTTTTCACAGTAACAAGCCCGACCAGGCTACTGTATTTTCAGAGGCAATATATAAACAACTGTTTTGAACAAATGAATCGTGCTAGTGAAATGTCTTTTGGGCTAGTGAATATTCCAATCTGGTAGTCCGACCAGCCTAGTTGATTCAAATCCGAATTTCTTACACTGTGTATTTAGTACCATTTAATACTGAAATACAGTCCAGAAAACCACAAGACATTTAGGCTTCTGGGTGGCAGTATGTACAAGGCTTATTAGAATTTTACAACCCCAAGAATGTTTGAAAGTGGAATGTTAAATGAAGAATAATAACTTATATAGCTGTAAGACAACACTGATAATTTATTACGTTTTAAGTTAGGGCTTAAGTAAATAAGAGCTGTCATTTGATTCAGTGTAAAGCATATTGACGATACATCTATATCGGATGACAAATATTTGTGATACACCGATATATCAATAAATACTCCTAATTTCTTGTATATAATTCACTTTCATACCTGTTTAAACGATATTTATCACACACCCGTGCCGATTTTGCGACTCCGTAAATATGGTATTGCACGGCCGTGCATATATTTTGACGTGACGTCATTAGCGTTATACAAACATAGTGTAAAGACGCGCTAAATGTTAGCGTTATACTATAGGCGCGTCAATGAAAAATGATTCTTATTTCACTTTAAACGGTCTTTATTTTGGGTATGTGATAAATAGAATATTAAATTCGTGTAAGTTCATTACTGAATTTATTGCACTCGTTGAATAAAATAATATTATTCAACTCGTGCAATTAATTCAGTATTGAACTTACACTCATTCAATATCCTCTATTAGTTACATACATGTTCTGTTAATAAAAATATGTTGTGTCCTGATTATAAATGTCCTTTGCATGATTTTCTTCCTGACCATTTTTGTCATCACTGCTATGAAATGTATCCGTTATGTAACTTTACAACAGCTTGGTCATGTTTTGGGCAAGTTTTCATTATTTAGAGACATTCAAATAATTAAACTTCTCCATTTCTTCAAGTGTGTATCGATTATTGATCAACAGAAAAATATCAATGATACATCGATATTGTCTCCAGAGCTCCAGATAATTTTTTGGGCCGAGGGGTTTTTACCCCTCAAAATCAAGAGTGAGGAGTAAAAATGCATATCTCAAAATCACCATGAGTAAAAATAATGATTTTAAGTCTTGAGCCTTATACAGATGGTTATTTATTCAAAATTGTTGTTTTCATATACATGTAACTGTTTTCAGTTGTATTTCAGTTGTATAATTATCAGGATAAATTTATTGATTAAAAAGTCAACACTTCGTAAGCTTCATTCTTTTTGGTTCTCTTGGTTTGTACTCCGCAGTAAGTCTCTTTTTTCGCCTTCTCTTGGTCAACCACTGCCTAGCACATTGTTCACTATCAAAATTCTCAACACTTGGTCCAAACAGGCTGACCCTCATGAGAGCCTCAAGGGAAACATCACCAAGGGAGGCCCTGGAAATATATACATAAAATAATATTTTATAAACTTAAAGACTGAAATAAAAAGCAAACTGTGATGTATTTATGTTAATTCATTACAGTAACAGTTTTATAACATACCTGTGATATTATTTTATTTTTGAAGTTAATAGCATTTACAAATGAAATTTTAACCAGATTTGTTACATTCTTTATTGTTATATAATTATTTTCCTTTTATTATTTAACATTCTTTATTGTTATTATATTTTCCTTTTATTATTTATGATAATCATAAGAATAAAATTTGCAAATTTGTGTACCTGTATTTGCTTTTTATGCGATTTTGAGTGCTAAATGAGCGCTCACATTCAACTGATGTCACCTGCATGCATAGTGCTATTACAGCAAGTTTGGCTATGTTTGGGAACTGGTCTTTGTGCTTAAGAATTATTCGTTGGCAGAACTCAGGAAGGCTCAAATTTTTGTAACAACCTGCCATCATACCACAAACACCTGGCCATTCTTTAAGCAACTGTTCACTCTGAATTATTTTCACAACAGGCTTTACAGTCTCAACATAACCACTGATCATATTACCAGATACTGATTTTATAACTTTGTCATTACCATAATGGTCTATCAGACACTGCAGAGCAGTTTCATTGCTTTCTGGAGAGGCCATTCTTACATATAGATGGTTCCAGGACCTCGTTTAGACTCAACATTAGCTTACTATCATGTTTGGGTATTCTCCGTTTTATGTTTTTAATGAGATTACTTAAGTAATTCTGTCTTACAGTTTCAATTTGTGAATCTATATTTAGAGAATAATTTGTCAGCTCTTCATTGCCATAAAAGACCTTGTCTTCCTCATACCTAAGGTTTCCTTTCATGATTTTCAAACACTCACCATCATTAGTTTTCAAAATGTTCAACATACTCACTGTACTGTCCACAATAGCTGGTACATCACTAAACATAAGTTTTTCAGACTGCAGAGTACAACAAAGTTTTCCCAACTCCACATGAACATCACACATTAAACCAATAAGTATAGCAGTTTTATAAGAGGAAAAGTACTTGTAAAGGCCTTTAGCCTTTGTATCATTCACACCTATACTTGACAGTGTTGCCAATAGTGATCCATAACATTCATGTACTGTTTCCACTGCACGTTTCAGACCTAGCCACCTGACAGGATAAGGGGCCTTAATAGAAAGTTCAGGTTCATCTAGGAGTGTTTGCATCTGACGTAAGGTGTAAGTTCTGTTACCAGAATTGCTAAAAAAGTTAAATAGCTCACCAAATTTCACATTAAATTTTTTCATTGCATCATTGTATTTAATTGCATCTGTAATTGATAAATTAAGTCGATGGGCTACACAATGTGTTTGTACGCAAAATGGTGCAGCTTTAGCTACCAACTGTACACCAACCCCAGTTTTTTTTCCAACCATGACACTAGCTCCGTCTGTGGCTAAGGAAACACACTTACTTGTGTTAATTTCACATTTTTCAAAATAAGTTAATAATGCAGTAACAATAGTGTGGGCACATCCATCACTTAACTCAATGTTAGCAAGAAAATCAGTGTACGGAATACCATTGTGAATATACCTTACACAAATAGAGAGACGTTTAGAAATTGATACATCAGTGGTTTCATCAATCAAAATGGCAAAATATTCTGAAGATCTCAACCTTTGAATAAGGTCTTCCTTGAGTATAAGAGCTATCAGATTTTGTATTTCTGTGATGGTTGTCCAGCTTAAATTTTGGTAAGAAATGTCTGTTTTATTAATTCTTTGTAATTCAAGAATGGCATTAACTTTATCTAAAGGTAACTCTTCTTTCATTACCATATACACTGTTCTCATTAGATACACATCTGCATTGTCAATTTTACCTTTTTCCAACTTGTTCTCTGGTGCGAGTTCCATATCAAGTTTTTTGATAGATAATTTACATGCTTCAATGTGGGGATCACATTCATTATGACGGTCAAGAGTAGACTTTTGAATATTGGTTGTACCGTCCTTTGCCCATATTGTACTTGTTTTAAACTCAGAACATAATTTACATTTCAATGTCTTTTTTTCATGCATATCAGATACAATTAACCATGGGTAATTTTGTTTCCATTTTTCTAATGTTTTGTCATTTACAGTTTCGTGTTTTTTTGATGAATTTTTAATAATAACATCACTGACTAAGTCATTCAATATACCCTTCACCAATACCAATGAGTTTGACTTCTCCGTGCTTTGAAAGAAATTAAAAATCTTCTTTTGTGACATTCTGAAGATGTCTGAAAAGAAAATGATAACTATTTTTATATGCTCTAAAAACAAATTCATTACCACTTCAGCAATAGATCTATACATGTACTGTCTGTACACATGTCTTTTTTTTACTAGGATAATTCACTTAAATTCTAAACATTTAAGACTACATTATTAAAAAAAATAATATCCAAAACTTTTATGATCTAAAATTCATACATCTTAATGTCATATTTGTTTAAGAAAGAAATTATATATTTTTTTGGAACGAAACTTTTAAGTACGAATCAATAACAATGAAACAGTAAATCGGCAGTGTTACGGCACTGAGCTCAAGCAAAATAGATTAGTTAAATATTAGTTTTATCAAATATTCGAAGTAAACAAAACTTACTGTAAGTGGTATTTATAACTTGTATAAATTTATTCTTTTAACAAAATCAAAATGTTGAAAACGTTCGGAGATTAGGTCATACGCAACTAAAAAATAATGTTCGAAGATTAGGTCATACGCAACTAAAAAGTTGAACACATTAAAATTTTTCATGGGCATCGGTTTTTTTTTTTTTGCATCGTTGTATCATTAGTTATGGAATCTTTTATGATAATACATTCGAAAAAAAAATCAAGTATTTTTTTTTTATAAGAAAAAGAATGTCTGTCCACGCTGTGGATTTAAAAATACTTCGTATTGGGTAATTTGGGGCCGATATGTCTTGGGCCGAAACGTCTCGAAATCGTTAGCATGACCCTTCTTTACCCCCGATGAAAGTGAACTCGTCTGACCTGGATCCCGGTCGTTAATTAACATTGTATAATCACTCTCACGTCGCGTGAAAGCATCCGCGCTTTATGTAAACTTCCTCCTTACCTGGGTTAGTGATTACGCTTTACGCATTATTTTGAATATGCATGCGTATTTTGATTTTATTATGCGTAACTGTGACGCATGGATTCTAAAACTGATGCGTATTTTTGATTTTTGATGCGTATTTTACGCGGATACGCATGCTATCTGGAGCTCTGTGTCTCTATCGATAACAGCTCTAAATCAAATATGCAATAAACAGGTTTAATTTCATAAGAAGGCTCAGCTGTCAGAAATTTAATCAGAAAATGTTCAATTTCACAAAGAAACAACACTGAAATATTACTGAATTTTGTAAAGTAGTTTTTGCCAGAAATGAAAAGTGGTTTTGTTCTGTTCATGTTTTTAGAAGGAAAAATGTATTTTTGGGTCAAAATTCATTTTGTACCTGCTGAAATTTTACTTGTCCTCTTAGATAAGTAAAGTCAAAATATTACCCTTAAGGACCTACAAATTTTGTCTTGTGCAACTTGCCACAAGGTCACTGACCAAAATCACTGGACAAACACACGTGAAGAAAACAACATGTTTTGTTTGAATGCAAGGATAATACTGTTCATGTCAAAATCGTGATTTCCCCCCAAGTACTTTCATAACATGATATAAACATATCCCTCTACATCCATAACAACTTGCTGTTATCAACTGACATTTCCCATCCAAGAACAACAATACATGACGAGTTTTAAATAAACAATACTTTTACCAGGATTGGTTATGGACGTCAAGTTCATAACCTAGTCAAGGAAGAGTATTGTTCCTGTAAAATGTTACTTCATATGAAAATTCATCTAACAACAATTCCATCCCTTTTGAAGCTGATAAACATGAGCTTTATTACATGAAGTACATGGAACTCTAAGATGACTAAATCAGGCAAGGCTGTCACTTCAGCAGAACCATTTACGTTAAATAACCGAGCCATGTAGCAGCATCAGATTCATATGCAACTATCAGATTTTATCCCCCTGAGACCATGAGCCCCAGGTCCTTGTACTGGTGTTTGCTCAAAATTACAAAAATGTTATATTACAAATATGCAATGATTGGCTTGCATATTCAAATCCATAGTCCAAAGTAACTATATAATGATATTATTTGGGTTCTTCAACTTTTCATCTTTACATGCATCATGTTTCCAATGTTCCCTAAAATGGCCAGCATAAAAATATTACACCTAAAGAAATCCCTGAAGTTATCAACATTTCCAGTCATCAAAATGTTGATCGGTGAAGAGACTTTAGATCTGCTACCTTTTCAATATGCCCAAGCTGCTATATACAAACTCAAGCAACATGGCATGGACTGATTGGTTGGCTACCAATAGTTATTTATTTTAGTTTTTTTGTTTGTTTTTTTTTTTTTTTTTTGGGGGGGGGGGGGTAATATTCAGGCAGCTTCCTTCGACCACAAAGAAACATCCTCTATCTGAATAATCCACAATAAAATGAGTTCACATTGACTACTTACCAGATAATATTGTAATGGATTTGGCCAAATATCATCTTTAATAACTTCTCCAAGTTCATCAGCTCCGGCATCGCCATGATCGGAGAACCAACAAAAG